ACTTATGGTTTTATCTCCCCGGACCAAGAGCGGGTGCCCGGCAAACCTAGTTCGAGACAGGACTTAATTGGTTCGGCATAAGGGAGGGGTCCCGCTTCACCAATGAATACTTACTGCCTCGGACCCGGTGGATCAGCAAACCAATCGCTAACCTTCAATCTTGATTCCATACTTTGTGAGAGGGTCCAGGAAAGGAGGATGCTGATCAGAAGGTACATACCTGGGTTTCGGGCACAGCTGAGTCTTCGGAATCGAGCATAGTCTCGATTAACCTGTTTCTCAGTCTCATTGCTCTCCATCGAGTTTCTCACTCAATCCGCTGTTTGTTCATACCCCCGTTCCTGGGATTGCAAGTTGCTGAAGAAATCATGGACCACTCCCCGGAGCACAGCTATCCACTCACCCTCTATCCGGGATCAGGAAGAGCTGGCCCATCCAGTACCTACTCCGCGGACGAGCGTGATTCTCAAGACCACGGAGACCATGAGCTGGCCAATTCCGCGGAATCCGACTACCCCCCATCCTACAACTTGGCGGCCAGCACTTCGTCCACGATACATCCCGGCGGTTATAGTATGGTCGAGCAATACACAGACGACGTCAGTGGAAACCCCTTTGTGAAAGACACAGACGTACCGAGCCGAGAGAACAGCCCGGCTCCGCCTGTCTCGCCATCGCCGAGCAATGTACAGGAGACCTCTTTCTCGACCGGATGGCAGCAGCGCCAAACAATCGGGGCGAGTCGACTGCGACGATATCCAACGCGCAAGATCAACCTGGTCAAAGGGACGGTGCTGAGCGTCGACTACCCCGTTCCAAGTGCGATTCAAAATGCGGTCGAGCCGCAGTATTCCAATGATGCCAGTATCTCACCCGAGGAGTTCACTCACTTACGATGTAAGCCCTGTCGGGACACTATTCATACAAGCAAAGGGAACAAGGCTATCGATATGGAGCAAGATTGACGTATCAAACTAGATACGGCAGCGACATGCGACCCCGACGAATTCACCCTCCGCAACGGCTACAATCTCCGCCCAGCGATGTATAACCGGCACACAGAGCTATTGATCGCCATCACATACTACAATGAGGACAAGGTCCTCACCGCGCGAACACTCCACGGAGTGATGCAGAACATCCGTGATATTGTCAACCTGAAGAAGAGCCAGTTCTGGAACAAAGGAGGCCCCGCGTGGCAGAAGATCGTGGTCTGCCTTGTGTTCGATGGAGTCGGCGCCTGTGATAAGGATACTTTGGACGTCTTGGCCACCATTGGCATTTACCAAGACGGGATCATGAAACGGGATGTTGATGGTAGGGAGACCGTCGCCCATATTGTTTGTTCTGCCTCGGGTTCTCACCCTGCCTGATCCGTACGTGCGACAAGCTGACGCTCTTGTAGTTTGAGTATACCACGCAGCTGTCCGTCACCCCGGCGCAGGAGCTCGTCCGGCCGCGCATCGACGACGACCAGGCCCATAACCTCCCACCGGTCCAGATGATCTTCTGTCTGAAACAGCAGAATAGCAAGAAGATCAACTCGCATCGCTGGTTGTTCAACGCGTTCGGCCGGATCTTGAACCCGGAGGTGTGTATTCTCATCGATGCGGGCACCAAACCGGGCCATAAGTCCTTGCTTGCGTTGTGGGAAGCATTCTACAATGATCGCAATTTAGGCGGTGCCTGCGGCGAAATTCATGCCCTCCTGGGCCAACAATGGGAAAAGCTTTTAAACCCGCTGGTAGCCGCCCAGAACTTCGAATATAAGATCTCGAATATTCTGGACAAACCGCTGGAGAGCGTCTTCGGGTATGTAAGTGTTCTCCCGGGGGCGTTCTCGGCGTATCGCTACCGGGCAATCATGGGCCGACCCTTAGAGCAATACTTTCACGGTGACCATACATTATCTGCCAAGCTAGGCCCCAAAGGCATTGAGGGGATGAATATTTTCAAGAAGAATATGTTCCTTGCGGAAGACCGCATCCTTTGCTTTGAACTCGTGGCCAAGGCTGGGTTCAACTGGCACCTAACCTATGTGAAGGCTTCCAAAGGCGAGACAGACGTACCCGAAGGTAGATTGTCATTTCCCCGATGGTGATCGATGCTGCAAGATCAGAACTAATGCATCATGAAAACAGCACCGGCCGAGTTTCTGAGCCAGCGACGACGGTGGCTTAATGGATCCTTCGCGGCCGGCCTATACTCGATCATGCATTTCACTCGCATCTACAAGAGCAGCCACAACGCCCTGCGGTTGGCTTGGTTGCATGTCCAGCTCCTGTATAATCTCTGCCAGCTCGTCATGACCTGGTTCTCTCTCGGTCAGTCTCGCCAGAAACTCGACAGACTGGGAAGCCAACGCTGACTGTTTCAAGCATCGTACTGGCTAACGACCTCGGTCATCATGGACATTGTTGGGGTCCCCAGTTCGACCAACAAAAACCGCGGTTGGCCGTTTGGAAACGAGGTAACCCCGATCGTCAACAATGTGATCAAGGCGACCTACGTGATGTTCTTAATCCAGCAATACGTGCTAGCCCTTGGCAATCGACCGAAAGGGTGAGTAAGCGCGTTGAACCGCATTTCTTCGCGTCAATGTCAACTGACGCAGCGTGATCTGTTTCTTGGCTAGATCGAAAATGGCATACCTCTTAGCCCTGGTATACTTTGCCATCGTGCAAGTATACATCCTAGTCCTCTCCTTCTATCTCGTGGCTCAGGCCTTCGCCGGAGGCAGCCTGGACATCGACGTCGACCACGGCGCGGGGGGCTTCCTGTCCTCGTTCTTCACATCGACCAGCGGCCTGGTGCTGATCGCGCTGGTTTCGACGTACGGCATCTACGTGCTGGCCAGTATTCTGTATGCGGATCCGTGGCACATGATAACCTCGTCGTGGGCCTACTTTCTCGGCATGCCCTCGTCGATCAACGTGCTCATGGTGTATGCATTCTGCAACTGGCACGACGTGTCATGGGGCACCAAGGGCTCCGATCAATCGTCCGCTCTCCCATCAGCGCAGACGCACCACTCCTCCGCCACCGCGGATGATCCATCCTCGGCCACGAACTTTGTCGTCGAGGCCGACAAGCCGCAGGCGGATATCGATACCGAATTCGAATTGACTGTCAAGCGCGCGCTCACGCCCTACCAGCCGCCGGTCGAGCATGGAAAGACGGAGCTGAGCGACTCCTACAAGACCTTTCGCACCAATTTGGTGCTACTGTGGTCGCTGTCTAATGCATTGTTGGTGCTTCTGATCAACAATGCCTCTGTCACGAACTTGTGTCTGACCGTAAGTTTTTCCCTTCCTTTGTTTATTTCCTTTCTTCGGCTTTTCCCGCGTGCGAGATTTATCCTCGTCACCCAGATATAGTGCTGACCATCTAAACAGAGCACATCAACCATTCGCACAGCCTGGTACTTCAAGATCATCCTCCTGACCACCTCAGCCCTATCGGTATTCCGCTTCCTTGGCGCGTTGTGGTTCCTGGGTAAAACCGGGCTGTTGTGTTGTTTTGCACGGCACTGAGTCTTCCAATCGATCGAAACTAGTCGGGCACGTGAAACTTTGTCCTGTGTGGCGCCGCGCAGTGATCGTCGGAAATATGGCTTCAGAATGTCTTTCTCTTCAGGAAAAGAGTGACCCCATGAAATGCAGGGGTCAAATCCAGGATGGTTCGTAGCTTATCTGACAGTGTTACCCATTGCATCTCGCACCAAGAGAAGAATCAGACCTTGAGGTTGACAAAAACAAAGCACAATTTGCTGTGACCGGAGTTCTGGGATCGTGATCGGGATGTAAGGGCGAGATGATATGCTTTTTTGCTGGCTTGCGAAGTTCTTATTGTATGTAGACTTCCATCACCGGTTTGCGTTTTAAGCTCTACATTGCTTGCGGAATTCTATGTCAACCTCGTAAGGACTTAAGCGTCTGTTACACTGCATAAGCGGGAACCAGACGTAAGATTCAACATCTTTACAAGGCTTGGAATAGCAAGTGGTCGCAGGAAGATCCATCCGCAGCACGATTGCTTGGCGGGAGAGAATCATACTGATGGAGGCGGCAAGAGGGCGGATTTACACGACAACGCTGAGGATATATACACATAATTACTCATCTTAACCTAGAATCCCTAGCGATATCGTCATCCGTAAGCCTCCCTTTCAAAGTGCACAAATACTTACTGAACCGACCCGAGACGTCGAAAATATGCTGCAGGTCGGCATGGGATAGGTCCTTGCCATTGAATTTGGGCAGCTGGCGGCCCGTCGTGATGGCATTGCGGATCTCGCGGCCGTTCAGCGCCTGCTGAGCCAGCTCGCCAAGGTAGCACTCGACGTTGTCGAAGTCGATCTGCGCGTTCTCCAGCCGCTTGAGCCGGGTGAACCAGTTGCGCCTGATCGTGTAGCGCTGTTCGCGGGTCAGATTGGGGTAGTGCAGGGAGACCTGGATGCGGGATTTGACGGCCTCGTCGAAGGAGCCGAGGCGGTTAGAGGTCAGGATCAAAATGCCATCGTAGTACTTGTGTCATGACACTCCCTGGTCCGCATCAGCTTTCTATTACTTCCATGCATAGGATTCCCTTACGCCTGATGAGAAAGCCTACGACTCTAGAAAATGTCGTTCGACTAAAGGACTGATGAATACGGAGTACTCTGTTTTAGATGCAGGAGGTAATATAGATTATGATGAACCTATTAACAGATGAACGAGGGATCCTAATGATACTTCCAAAGACTATCTTATCATTGGTATAAGCCCGATTACCTGCTACATCGTTATTGTTCAACAAGATGAACTTTCTCGGCGTGAACAACAGATGACTTGTTGATATGCTGTTCGTCGGCAGATTGGACCTTGTTCTCAGAAAGAGTGGTAAGAGTTGACATCAAAGGATTCGGATCCTAATTTCATTAGCGAGTTCCACGTTGCGAGACTTTGACATGCACTCACCAATATGAGCGTGTTTGTTTTGAGAACAGGCCTACTGCCTTCTTCCACATATTCTAGGAGGGCAGTAGACTCTCCTGATACGCTTTGATTGTTAGAGAATGTGATTTTGTAGGAGGTAAGGACTGTCAAATCCATCATGTCGCCTCCGTTACTGTACACTTTCTTCGGTACGTGTTTAAGACCTGGAAAAGAAGCCCAAAACCTTAAGATGTGTTGTCTAATCTCTTGAATCAATTGTCAGCATCTGATAACTCTCGTAAATCTTTCTTTTTGGCTATGGACCCAAAAGCTATTGTTGGATGACAATATGTTACCTACCCTCATGACCTTTAAATACTTTCCCAAAGGCCTGGAATTCGCCATTCTTTCGGCACACCTGGCTCCATTGAATGGCTGCCTCCGGTGAATAGCCGTCGAGAAGATAAAAGAAATTCGCAAGGGCCAATTCGATGGCCTCTGGGACGTTGTCAGGTCAGAGAGTGGCTGCAGACTCAACGTGGCTGGAGTGGTCATCATGATATTCAGGTGGATAGATTATTTAAATGAGAGATAGAACGTGTGGACTGGAGGTGACCGGACTGAAAGATTATATATTTAGGGAGAGAAGACAGGCCAATACAGGAGGCCTCTCGTCATGCCTTCGTACCCCGTTTCCCCATGATTTTCCTCTCTCTACGCTTGCAACCTAGTCACGGTAGTTGTGGGGATTGTGGATCCTGCGTCATGCATCTAAGACCGCTTCCCTCCATCATCTGAAAAACAACAGTGTCTCACTCCGGGGGTATTTCGGAAATCGCTGCCGGGGTATGCAACAGCTCGGGTCTCCCTCCGAGGACGTGGCTGATCAACATATCATCGTCCTGCTTTTGCGGGTCGGGTTCCGACCAGGGCATTGGATAGTTTTCCTAAATGTGAGTAAATGATTTTCCCATCTCTGAGCACCTCCCATGTCTCGACGAGACAAATTCCATGTTTGTCTATTCAACTTAGTGCTTGACTCCATTTGTACGGCCGAAAGTACCTTTCTTGAGGTAGGGATTGCTACGAATAACAGAAGCAAAGGAGAAGCTACAGTCTCTTCTTAGAGGATTATATGCTCTATATCAAATTCTGACTGTCTACAACTCGCTCCTCTAGCCATCGCTTAATCTGATCCATGCTGCAAAGCTTTCAGTGGATAAGTCACGCACTGGGTAGAAAGGCGGGCACATCGATATCCACCCCGGTCGCGAAAATACCAGATACTTGTCCGACTCTTAGATCCATAGCCATGCCGATGATGCTCGAACACTGAGACCACAGCGTAATGTGGGTGTTTTTCTTTGCTTCCGCGTCACTTCTCTCTTTTTAAACCGTGTCTATGTCCCCCGTGTACCGCATGTTAAATCGTGCCTTCCGGATCCTGTAGCCCTGCGCCACCTGCCCAGATTTAGTCAAGGCGCTACATGTTTAGCCAAGCAGGCGGGGAGCCGGGCAAGTCAAAGCCAATAGCAAGTCGGAAGCGCAGTATTGATGATTCCTCGTAATCGTCTTGGCAAACCACCTGGGCATGCTCAGTTGGGGGGATTTGAGCGTTGGGGAATCACTCATGTATGGCATGTCGTGAATTAGATTTCATGACCAAAGCTGCGGTCCGTTCCTTCATGGGAAGTTTTTCACATGCGCTATCTTCATTTTAGCCATCAAAGCGCAGCCACCGCGGAGCTTCCATAGAAACATCTGTGCTGTACACTCCTTACATCTCCTGTACCTGGATTTCCCTACCTCGGATCAACATATGGTGAGGATCATCATAGGAACACCATAGACCCTCCAGGGACGTGACTTTCCAAATGCAGCGAAAATTGGCCTAGTATATGCAAGAATCGCTGAATCTATCCCATATGAATGATATCTGCACTTGTCCAATGGCCTTTGAGTAGCTCTATTTCCAGACGGAAATGACCGGCTTTCAGGCCAAACACGTCATCGATGCAGGAGGTGCTTCGAACCGATTATAAAGTATATTATTAGAGTCTGGAGCCGCAGATCCGTAGGTTTTATATATTCCGAAGAGTACGTCCCTCCTTTTACCTGTACATTTTCCAACTAACTCAGAAAGGCACTGCCGTGGCTTCAAGTGGGATCGTTTTCCTAGAAGAAGGCTCGCGTTTCTCTTTGCAGCCACTGAACACGGTCTCAATTCATTAGTATGTCTTTATCTACTCTATCTTAATCGCTACACTGCAACATGACTAATGCATTGCAGAGTTTAACAAAATACCAGACAAGTATTATACGTCATCTGAAACTTGTACTAAAGTTAGGGCTTGGATGGACGCGAAGAAGCAATATAAGGCCTTTGCGGATAGTGCTTCAGAAGACTGGATGCAAGATGGCACACAGGCAGAGTTTCCACACCGGCAACTTCTCTGCAGCTTCGAGTCTCTATGAATGCAATGTCAACTATTCCGAGCCCTCTATGAATACAATGCGAGAATGTAGGCGAGCAGGTTGTTGAGGCGTGTATCTACTACGTGCGGTTTTTACCTCTCAGAACCGCAATCCTCCTCGACGAAATACTGGCCCGTATTGGTGAAGAGAGTTCGTATATCTCGCCCAAAGCTCCGATGATGGTCGTTTCTGGACAAGCAAAAGCAAGGAAAATGGCGAAGGATGTGAAAATAATCGTACTGTGCCTGGACCTCAAAATGTTCATATACTTCGGCTATGCGCTTATAAGATCAAGCTGAAGCTCAGAGAATGGGTGTCTATCGAGACATCAACTTCGATCTACGCTCAACTATCAAGCAGTATATAGGGTTCCTCATTTGATCCTTTAAATCATATCATAATGGCATTGAATCTCAATCCTCTATATCAATATAGCGCAGCCTGACCTTCAACCACGACCCCCCTCACTCCTCCGGTCTTCCGCACGAATGCCACACCATATGAAGCGGCGAATACCCCATCTCCGGCAGCCAATGGTCCCGGACGGTGCGCGCGCAATGCCGCATGTGCTCCATGTCCAGCGTGGTGTTATCCCAGACGCGCCGCTGCCGGAACCCGCGAATGGACATCTCGAGGAAATACGCGCAGTGCGCCATGTGGAACTCCTGGTTCGAGAAAACCACCGGGTGAATGCCGCGGCGGACCTCCGTCAGAGTTGTTGGTTGCTGCAGCGCGCGGTCGAGCCAAAAGGGATACTCGACCTCAGCGAGGTAGCTCTCCATCAGCTCCTCGTCGAAGCAATCCGCTGGTACCCAGGCGACGAGGATCACGTCGTAGCGACAGCCCTTGGAAATGGCTTCCTCGGGGGAACTGCCGCAGTCGGTCCAGTGTGCGGATGGCCTTGGTAAGTGCCCAGCATGGGGTAAAATCGACGAGGAAAGCTGTGGAGGGGAGAGAACTGGGCCCGGGGCGCGGAGCTGTTTGACAAGGTGGTCGTGCTGAAGAATGACAATGTAGGCGATGAGGAAAGCGATTAAAGTTGATAGGAGGATTAGGTGCAAGGCCCTAGACAGTTGCTGTCCACAAGAAAATCCCCAGCAGAACTTTCTTTCTAACCTGTAGTAACGACTCGATCTCGAGTGGCCATCGAGTAGGCTTTCAGTCGCAGCATCCGACATGCGCTCGTTTGCCTCTTCTTTCTGCGGGCGTACCATGACTGCGATCTGACTGTACTGACGATATATGCTTGTAGACAGAGCTCAAGAAGAGAGTATGGGAATAGGCCTGGACGACAGATGCAGCACACAAGACATAATCACACCGTGCTTCAGGGGACGTCCAACGTTCTCGCGTGTTGGAGGGCCAAGAACTTTTTCCCCCGCAGGCTGCCGGGTATGATTTACCTTGGGCACGGCAGTTCTGCAAAATCGATAACCGATCATATCTCTATCTGTGCTAATAATCGCAATCCTGATTTCAAGTTTACCTAGTGCAAGCCTGAAGTCAGTCCGACCTTGCATCCATCCATGCATGAGAGCCTGGTACACTACCTATGTGGTAATCTGAGAACGCGGCGTACTGTATGAAGTGGACCTGTACTGACTTACCGCATGTCACATACAGCTGGTAATCTAACCGTCACTCTTACGCGTCTTATCGGGTACGAAAGATACCACATTGACGCCCCACAGTTGTGAGGCGATCACTTCGATCGAAGTCGGAGTGACATTAATACAGGCTCTCTGACAAACATCGGCTTATGGACTCGGCCGAGTTGATGGAATGTCTCAGTCGATGGTAACTAATGCGAGCTGACATAACTGCTGCGAGGGCTCATTGCGAGGGCTCATAGAAAGCTTCGCTTGGCGGTACACTTTCTATTCGAAGAGAGGTTTGCTCTATCTTGCACGCAAGTGATTGTTTGTGCATGGTTTAACAGTGAAGAATTTCATCCAATTGCTTTCGCATTATTATTCTGTTGCGATCTAACGAGTCTCCGTCCATTCGAGAATCCGCTCAAACTTGCGACAGGTATGCGTGGCCTCAATATCAGCCAACAGTTGCCCCGCATGTTCATTCCACACCTTAGGCACCGGGGTTAGATCCCCTGCGCACTGAATCTCTTGTCGCAAAGTCTCGATGCAATGGTCTAGTTCGACCGACTGCTTAGCTTCAACTTTTCCCCTGCACTCAAAGCTCGACGCGGGTAACTTACCCACGTGCAACCAGTATTCGGGGATATGCGGACGAATCTCATGAATGGAAGGATAGTAATCATCGTAAATAGCTTGCCGTAGGTAGTTCTGGAGGGTGTCAATCATTGGCAGCTGGTGGGGAACAAGGGGGGTTTGCATGGCCTACCAGGCAGTGAAGACTATGCTGAACGGCCGTGCTTTTTTAGGGCAATCAATCGTCAGCAAACAAGGTGCTCTGCTACCCGGGAAAATTTGGAACTCTGCTCACGCAGCCAAGTAGATGCCATCGTGCTCCGATATATCTCCCTCCACACTCTCAGATTCCTCTTGCGTGAGAGGAATGAATTGTCCTGCACAGTGGCGGAGAAGTCAGTACTTTCAACTTTATCACCTATATTTCCGTGTCAAAGGCCCGACTCACCAGCCAAACGATCCCAGGCCGCATCCAACTCGCGCGTGGGCTTCCCAACGTATCGCACGTTATCGGCGGGATTGAAATGCATGTAGAACGTACCGTTCTCATCGGCTTTGATCCCGCCCCAGAACCGGACTCGTTCCAGCTCGATCTGCGGTATGGCAGCCTCTACGGATTCAGTCAGCGGCCCACCCAACCAGATATGTTGTGTTTAAAGTGCACTTGGTGGGCAGGAACTCACGCATCTCGGTCGCGTATCCAACCTCGTAGCTCTGACCACCGGACGCCGGATATGCGAGCAGAAGGAGGACGAGGAGGCATGCGCCCAGTGTGAAAGTGGAAATCATCCATGGCAGCGCTTCGGCTCTTGTCTCTTCGAAACGTCTCTTCTCATGGGGCTCAGAAGGAAGGAAGAGTTCCTCCTCGCCGTCCTCGTCGCTCGTAGGAATGATCATTCGGCTGGGCTGCGTACGTCGCCAACCCAGTAAATGTTGGAGTCCCATCATCTTGGTAGATAATCCTGCACAATTCAACCTTTGTAAGCTTCTGGGCAGTGGGAGGTGTTCAGTTCTGCACGGGCGTGCAATGCAGAAAGGCACGGTTGAAAGTTGTGGGAGACACCCAGTATCGTAGGCTGTGGGGAGAGGGTCTTCTCGTTTCCGCTTCACTTGGACTCGGGACCGAGCCGATGTGTCGTTCTCGCACAGCAAAACTTCAAGACGTAAATCGAGCCCTTGGGTAGTTACTCCTTCGGGTAAATGCCATGCCATGACAACGAAGCAGGGTTGCATTGCAGTGGAGTTAGTATTTGTTTTGCAGGTTGTTGTCCCGTGTTTAAAGTATTACCCCGATGTGGTAAGACGGTAATAATACCACCCCCGGCAACAATCCTTCTGACAGAGAAATACAGGATGCTTAATGCAGGGTAATGCAGGCTCGGACATGCATGGTGTCAGACACAGTAAAACAAGGCTTTTGACGAAGCTTGTTATCTCTAGCAAGCACAACGTGCGGGGTCGATTTGCGTACAGGAGTGAGGGTAGTCGATAGCCTCCCCCTGTTGCCCCCGGCGAGCAGGGAGGGAAAATACTCACCACGCACAGTGACAGCCTGTACCTGGGTGCATTGTATCTATTCAAGCTTTCTTCTCTAGCAAAGGTCCATGCCCAAGGAAAGCCAACCACCGCATAATTAAACATGTTACTCAAAAAGATGTCCATTGCCCGCCCTTTCACCAAGACCGATTATCACCGTGCGCCATCCACCGAGGATGCTGCAGACGTCCTGGACACATCCGAACGGCGTTCCCCCCACCGTAAAAGGCTGCGGGGAGCGGCCTTTACACTTATCAACATAGTGTTCCTCGCGATGAATCTCGGCTTCTTTGTATTGATCTACAAGCACAGAAATGGCAAAACACCGGAGATTGACTTCGTCATCCGTACGTCTCCCAGGCGTGACGGGTCGGGGTGCGAGACTAACTGAGTATCATATAGCGCAATTGCAACGGGTCTTGAATCATGAAGTCGAAATGACCGATGTTGGGATCGGACAGACTTCTCCGTACGCCCAGGATACCCCGGAGGCCGATCGACTGTGGCGTGAGATCAGTCAAGATGGGCCATGTACGTTCATTCCTGGGCGAGAACCGCTCTGAACAAACCCCGTTAACACCAGTTCTCCAGACGGATGGATCAAGGTCGACAAGGCAGACCTTGATCGCATCAACCAAACGTCCGTGCGCTTGGAGGACGGATCAGGGTATCTTGCTGGGCTGGAAGTGTATCATGAGCTGCACTGCTTGGTGGGAATGTCTGCGTTGGTCACGTCAAGCAACTGCTAACCATATCAATCTAGAACTGGTTTCGCCGCAAGATTCTGGGCCGGGAGATCAAACTCCAGGAGGATCCGACCCCCGAGTACCATCTGGGCCACTGCCTCGATATTCTGCGACACAGTATCCAATGCCACGCGGATCTGAGTCTGATGCCCGTTCGCTGGGTCGAGGGCTACCCCTTCCCGTGGCCGGTTTTTCAAACCACCCGCACCTGCCGGAACTGGGACGACATTTTCGCCTGGACGAAGGAGCACTCCATCGGCGCTGCCGGGCGTGTGGTGCATCCCCATCTCGGGCCCGTCGACGGGAAGGACTTTGACCCGGAGACGTTGCCTCGTCCGGGCCATATTGTCTACATCGATGGGGAATAACTGACAGGGGAAGGTTGCAGAAAGTAGTGCTGGTGTTGGATGTCGGATTGAATGCTAGAGTACACCCTTCGCCACGATCTTCTCACTAGTCACATGGTTTTTTCTCCACGCAATCAATATCCCCATTCCCAAGAACTTCTAGTCCCTCGTAAACACGGCTCCCGTAGCAGAATGTTTCCGACTCCAATCCAGCAGCGTCTCATAATTTCTACACTGATGCAACACACTAAAGTCTGCCTCGTAGCTCTCGGTATCATTCCCCCATGCGTACGTCACGATACTCGCATCGGCATCACTGTCGCTGGATTAGACAGAGCGGATCACGACCGGTGAAGGACAACACATACCACATAAGCTTCTGCCTCAGGATCTCCGTACAGTGGTCTCAGTCCGTCGTCAGCCCAACGCAACCAGTACAAATTGCCGGGAAAACACTCACCCAGACGGGCGTGATACTTCTCCGGGTTGTGGAGCAGGAACTTTCTTTCTGGTTCATAATAGTCCACATGCGACGCGCGAAAGAGGTTATACTAGCTGGAATTAGGGCGATGCCAGCATCTGGGCCATTTGAGCGAGGTAACCAACCAAGCAATGTAACTGATGGGTCGACTCGAAAGTCGCGAAAAAGCCCTGGCTCGTTGACGAGGCACCGTACACCCCCGCCCGGCGGTCCTGGGGCTGGGAGAGCGCATACTCCCGCTCGGAGACCAGCATGTTGTCGGCCCAAAGACTGTTCCACATTTCGTCGACGGCGGGAGAAGGTGGTCCTCTGAAGGGGCTGGGGGCGTCGGGATGACCCACGAAACGAGCGAACTCGTACTCGTCCTCTCCGTACACGGGCATCTCGAGCGTCGCTCGTTGACTACTGACTCGGGCCGTGGGGAGCTGACAGACAAGTCGATTCGACGCCATCCAAGTGCCACACAGAATGGAGAATAGAAAAAATGCCAAGTGGCATGCCCATTGTACTGGCGACACGTGGGGTGGGTTGAGCCAAGAAGGAGTTTTGAGGTGCATGGCGAGGTGGGATCAAAGGCGTTGCGGGTTAGGGTCAATAATTGGAACACGCAGACTGACAGATATGTTTCACTTTGCACAGGATACCGCCGCTATTTATGGCCAACTGCAGTAAGACTGAGCCTGACTGTGACTACAGCCCACTCAAAACTCCGATGTCAATGTCGGTATCACCTTTACCACTCAGAATACAACTTGCTCCTTATGCGGTTATTCCAAACTTTTCAGTTGGCTATCTCGTCGGCTAAGTGATGGCTCTTCCAGTCACCTGATGTCCATGATGCTCAATCTACCGAATGTAACTATTGATACTGAAATCACTGTCAAACCACAGCTCGAACTATCTACTGTAGTACCTATGCTGAGAAAACGTCAGGAATGACCGTCATGCGCAGACGCGGGATCCACCGTTCTGAAAACCTCATGCTGCTTGGCCCAGTCCACCAACCTATCCCACTTCCGGCACTTGTGCAGCGTATTGAAGTTCGGATCTTCCCCAAGCTTTCGATTGGGATTGAGCTGGATCAGGTATGGGGTCACGTCCGCCGTGCACATGAGATTGATGCGCAGGGTCTCGATGCAGTGATCCACATGGTGCCGCACCAGCTGAGGGGTCCCGTCAAAGGACGGAAGAGCGCTATAATCCCACTGGTCGCGGTATGTGTATTGACGGATCAGATTCTACGTAGTGTAGGAACACCAACTCGTTAGCCGCCGTTCCTGATCAAATCGCTGGGGTCACCACATACCAAGCAGTGAATCTGATGGAACCCCTCCAGCAGGCCAGCCACACCGCCGCCTCGCTCGTGCGATATCTCGCGCCACCCCGTGGTGGACTTGTTGAGTTTGGGTAGCATCTCGTGCGGAACGCTGAAGGCGCCGTCTGGAGATTTGTGAGGACATGTGTCAAAATACTTGGACAAAGAGAAATTGTGGAGACCTACAATCCCAGAGCTCATCCCACGCCTTCTCCAGTTCGACGGAAGGAGGACCGCGATAGACGGACTGGTGGAAGAAATCATTCTCAAACGTCTTCCATTCATACTCGACGGCCTCCATGGCAGGTGCTGGTACGTGTCCAGCGTTAGTCACTCACATCCGTTTAAACAATGGAGCATATTCTTACAAACAGCATTCATATGCTGCGCGCATGTCCGATCGTTGACACGATACTTGGCCGCTACAAACAGATTGACAAGAGACGTCAAAAAAAGAACGACGGGCAAAACCAGACAGATCCAGCCGCGATAGCGAAATTTCGCCCGCCAGCCGGATGTGGGAATAGAAGTCTCATCGCCTAGGTCCGAGTCCTCGGAGGGGACTTGAGAATAGCGTTGGGATTGTTTCGACATCATCTCGAGGAGAAAGGGGAATGGAGGATGAGGTGGCCGTTGAGAATGAGAAGCAAGCGGGGAGAACGAAAGACCCTGTGTTCATCTTGACATTAACTAAGGGCTAACTGAAGTATCGTGAGGTATATCCACTCGCAAATGAGGCATAGGCTCCTCGGACGGCTCGGAGTTAGGCTGCGTCGATCAATTCTGCGCCGACGGAATCCGATGCATGGCCCGGACCCTGAAACCACTAAGGAGAGCTCCAATCAGGGTCTGCTGATAAGGTGTTTCTTTACAAAGCTAGCAGATCACGTCAGAACGAAGAAACACAATACCTGTGTGTATCAGTCACGTCTCGTCTCGTTGTAATACTGTAGACCGCACGGCTGATCCAGACCGACTACGTGACTGTCACAGATGCAGGTAATAGCTTGCTCACTACTGCTGAACACCAACCGAGGCTTGCATGTAGACACGGATTCGGACGTTACAATGGCAAGGAAAACTTGGAAAAGGTATATGAGATTGAGCCAACGTGGGATACCCCAAAGCATTGCAGCGTGCTAAACAGAAGACAGCCATGCATCACCTCACATTCTGGCTCTCCTTGATTCTCAACATTGCTAATGGTGCTATGGCACAGCGGTATCAACTGGTACTTTCATGACTAGCACTTCCGGGGCTCTCGACGGCATGATTGCTAACTATACTAGAATCAATCGCACTGGAGACAGTGTGTGGAGGCCTTCGGACCCGCCAGCTTTTCGCCAGGCACCTTGGCCTCCGGGGCGTATCCGCAGTCTGCCATAACTCTCAACTTTGCCAACCTGGTGACAGCGGAGAAAGATCCCATCGTCAGCGTTGCTATTTTCCGCAAGAGTGACGGACAGTTGGGCGGGAAAGTCATCAACGGAAAGGTGAGTGGTGCGAACCATGAATCAGTATTGAACAATAACTAACCGCTGATAGATGCACTATGTCTGTGACAGTATAGCAATCGAAGCTGGCGCATGCCGCCCAGAAAGCTACGGCGCCTTCATCGGCCGGTTAGAAGACGCAAATCATCCGATCTTGACGGAGGCTGTACACATCTCACAGTACCCTAGCACCATCTATTTTCCTCTCACGGGGTCTGGCTCATACTGCGTCGAAGCAATTGGCTTCACGGCGTCCACTTTTAGCGCTGTCATGCGCTTGCATTCCGCGCATGGCTATCTTCCCGCTATACAAGTGGGAAAATGGCATTTCATGGCCTTCTGCTTTCTGAGCAGCTTGTGCCTGAGCGTTGCGGTCGCAATCAACCATTTCAAGGGTCGACCGTCGATGGAAGTGCACAGATCTAGACTGTTCGTCTTGGTAATCTGCTTGGTTTGCCTCGACGCCGCGATCGCCTGGGCGAACCTCACTTACATCAACCGCCACGGTTACCCGTATGCCTGTGAAACGATTCGGACCCTGAATATCATACTACGGGCGTGCCGGAATGCAGCCGTTGTATTCTTTGCTCTTCAGTCCTTGCGATCCCGACCCAGTCAAGACAAGTCGTCTCCGTGGGTGGCTTACGTCCTCGGCGCAGCTGCATTCGCCTTTACCGTAGGCCGCGAGAGAGAGATGCTACGCGATCGGAACGAGTCTCGCGACGCGCTGCAACTTTTGTGGACTCTCGGAAGCGGGGTCGTCATTGTGATCTCCCATATCGAGTGCCTCCGGAAGACGATGAGTCTGCGCCGGCAGCCATTCAGAGAAGGGAAGGTCACCGGATCTCGTGCAGCGCACTGCACATCGTTGGCGATGGCGATTTTCACATTTTGCTTCCTGGTACTCGATGCCGTACTTCTACGTTCGTGGAGCAGAGCCGACGAGTACGGACACGACTTACTAACCCGACTTTGGTGGGCGCGATGGTTTCTGGTCGATGAGTGGCAAACCATCTCTTACTTGGGCTTAGTAGTGGTTCCTGCTTTGGGCGCTTAGCTGCTCTGGATTTGGAATATCAAGAGCATGAAGTATAGTCGGGCCTTGATTGAGATGTTGACTGTGTAGTCTAGCTGATCAATTGACATCATGGTGGACAGCGGCGCGACAGCGGGGAAGTCACATCATTCAACCCTCAAGCCAGTAAAGGGGGAACCTTCCAGTCTCCTGCTATCTCTTTCCACTGATGCATAAACTGTAGAAGCTTTTGTTCCCCCCCAGCGCGGCTTATCAACATCAATCCTTGAGGCTGACCCAACCCACCTGGCCCTTCCAAGCGCCCGAGAGGAACCATACCGGTAGGATATCCCGCAAGAGCAGCAACCGCGCAGATAGCGCAATCTCCCGGTCCGATGATGATATCGATTCCGTGCTTGCCAAGCGTTGCGTCGATACCCTCTGGCCCCGCGAGGCGTTGAGCGTAAGCCTTTGCTGCGGCCGCTTTCTCATCATCCATGGACGATTTTAGCGTCTCCAGCAAGTCAGTTTGATCAGTATGGGCTATAATAAATTAGCTCTAGTATCAGTCAAGGTACCATGTCTGTTGGTTTCCTTACGTGGCGGCATCGCAATTGAGGCATGATCCTTGTTCCATTTGATCAATTCCGGAACCGATTGCACTTTAGGCTCCTCTAGCATGGAGCAGAATGTCTCGAACAACTTTGGAAACTCATAGACTGTCCCACATTAGTTCTGTATACAGAAATTCCACAGCAGGGTCTCTTACATGCGACGGAGTAGTTCACACTCTGGCCCTCGTAGTGCAGCCTCTCCATGGTCGGCAACTCTACCGGGTAGACAACGCGGCCTCCTCGCTGCGCAATCTGCGATCTCGCCCACTCATAGCTACTCAACTGTAGAGCTTCAGCAGACAGCACATCAAGTCAAATAAGGACATAACCTACAATTTGCTGCTCTACATCCGGGTCTGGTGACTTCTGAAACGCGAAAGCGTCCCATACGAGAGGATCAACGAAGCCGACCGACACGTCCGTCCATCCTGCCGGCGGTGTATACTCCACTCCACTCAGAGCGTGTGCCAGCACCGCGAGGTCCCCGGGACACCGCGCTATAGCCCCTATCTTGTCAAAGTCCCTACTCAAGGAAAAGACCCCCTCAAGGGGGACCGAGCCCTGCGTGACGGTGATGGAATACAGCCCCGCGCGGTTGGTGGGCATGCAGACAGAGCCCGAGGTCTCTGTGCCCAGAGCCAGCGGCGCAAAGCCCGCGGCAACGCCCACGGCCGACCCCGACGAGGACCCGCCGGGCCCCGAGCGACCGATAAAGAGATCGTCCGGGCGGAACCCCCCCGCAATATAGGGGGACTGGGTCTGGCCGTTCACGGCCGACCAGCCCGCGGTGATACAGGTCGCCTTGAGGCCGCAGAACTCCGTCATACTCGCTTTGGCGAGGATGATCATTCCCTGGTCGAGCAGAGACTCGATAATCGCTGCGTTGGCGCGTCCGTAGGTATCCTGGAAGGCCACGGCCCCGGCGGTGGTGGGGAGTCCCAACGCGCGCGACGTGATGATAGCATCCTTGACGATGATTGGGACCCCGTGGAAGGGGCCGCGGATGCGACCCTGGGCTCGCTCGCGGTCGCGGTCGGCAGCCTGGGCCAGGGCCGTCGCGGGGTTGACGGAGATCAACGCGTGCAGCTGCAGGCCGGCGCGGTTGTGCTGGTCGATCTGTGCCAGATAGGCCTGGACAATGTCGTGACTCGTCGTGTGGCCCTCCTGCAGGAGACGGCTCAGCTGCGTTGCAGTTGCGGTTAGTACGTTCCACTCGGTCATCTTGCTCGAGCAATTGATTCGTGATTAGCGGGAGGGTAAGTCCAGAAGACTGTGAAGTGCGCTGATGGAAGTACGTCACTGGTTTCACAGAGAGGGTGAATGGAGGTTGATGCAGCTATTTTCGTATCTGACATGCTTGTTTATGTGTTCGACCCCGCATCGGAAGGATCTTGTTGTGATTAGTTTAGTGCTTATTATTGTTGCAGGTGGTGTCATCGAAAGATAAGGTTAGAAGGGCAAGGTGTAACTCATGATTGAGTGTACTGTATTGTACTCATGAGCTGGAACGTATTGTAATACAGGTAGTACAGTACATGTTTTTGATACGGTCACAAACCTCCACCGCAACCCTAACTTGTCAGCGGCACGACGAGCCTGAAACAGCATTCGCCTTGCGAGAATCGTCATGAAAATCCCTCATCAGAACAAAGTGAACTTCTCATGGGGATTTTCACCGAGCTATCTACTCTGTAACGAGAACCGACACAGTGCGGCCGTCGGGGGCTAACTCGCCGCCTGGATTGCTCGTGAGGGCCGCGACACTGTCCGCGGCCGTCGATGATCAGGCCAAACATCACGGAAGATAGCAAAGTATGAGGGGACTAGATCAGGTACTTCACTCATGCCCGGACTGCACCGGATCCAGGTTCGATATGGAAGGCACAAACTCCTGCAGTAGGAGCAACTAGCTTCCTTCGACCGAATCTCTGAGCCTCGGGCCCGTCACCCATTTGCCTGCGAGCTCTGATACCTACCAGGGTGTGATGTTTTTATGATTCTCTTATTCCCTTGAGGCCCGGACATATAAAGCCTTGCGTTTGCCACACCTTGGTGGAAAGTGTCATCTATCCTGAAAAGGCCGTGAAGCGGATTCATCTTAGACTTGACTTCATCCTCCAAGAACCTTAACCACATTACCCCTCGTCAACCTTCACTATGCTTGCTAGAACTCTTGTTCTCCTCTTGATCGCCTCTTTGGGTGCTGTGGGTGCCCCGGTCAAGCGCGACGAAGAGGGCACTGTCATCGTCGACCCGGCGCGTGAGATCATCTGGACCAAGAACTACGGAGAGTACGAGAAACGTGAAGAAGACGGGGCTGTTGTCGACCCCGCGCGCGAAATCATCTGGACCAAGAATTATGGAGAGTATGAGACCAAGAAGCACTAAGCTCCGCCACCATCGGTAGGGCCTGACTGGAGTCTTCGAATGACAGCTTGCTGATGCTTTCCAGGATAAAGGTGGAAGGGCTCAAATCTGGAAACTGAACCAAGAAATGTAGGAGGTGGTGTGTAGCTGTTTCGCCGGGTGTGCATCAAGTCAATAGTTAGAGGTGTCGGGAGATGGTGTGTTCAGGTAGCCGTCGATGAATGTATGCAGTGACGGCCAAAAATGTACATAGCGAGTCGTGCAGGCCAGCGTACATATCTGTGCATAGATTCTAGTTTACCGGAATGTATGATGCAAGAACAGACTTCTCCAATAGCTTGCTCCATTGTTGGCGTAAATTGAGTGAGATCAAGCAAGCATTTCAATTATACTGATATCGGACCATTTTGATAGTAAGATAGGCCGCTATCAGAGGGCCTGCCGCTCCCAGTCTTAAAACCCAGCCGGCACTGTTCTGGGACCCCATTCTCCCCGCGGCCTAGATGATCCCTCCATCCAGCACGGCAGCAAAGACCTGTGGCAACGAAATGCAGATATTATGTACACTCAATACTACGCCGATGTCAAGGTTTCGCGCCTCGATACGCTCTGCGCAGCCCTCTGGATCCCCGTTAAATCCCGCAAACTCACTTCCGATAATCGTGTAAGGTGCCCAAAGCAGCAATGACCAAGGTATACCGCAAAGACAGAGAATGACTGCTGAAGAGATCCACTGGTCCACGAGTATAGTGGCCAGCAAAATACACCCAAAGATCACATGGCTTCCGGCCAGGAGCTTCCAGATGCCGTACCTCGCAAGAGCTTGCTCATGCTTGCTTTTTGACCGATTCATGAGGCTGTGCAAAGTGAGTGAGGCGCCCAAAGCCACAATGGCAAAGGCGAGTCCAAACACAACTCCTTGTTGCATAGATACAATGACATTGCCGCTGGATTGGAAGGACATCTTATCTGGATGAAGGTTAGTATAGAGAGGCTGTCTCGTTAACGATGTACGCACTCAGTGTTTCAATATAGCTTTCCCCCGGTGTCAGCCACGCAGCTCAACATTTTCCCATCCCACTAGAGGAGACAACTTACATCGTAGAATAATACAAGAAAGAGAACCACGCCGTCCAAGCACACACTTGGGCTTGGCAAAGAAGACGAAAACCGGATGGCAAGGCACGATAAACCGAGAGCCAACGTTTAGGCGACATCGCTAACCTCGTAGAAGTGGCTTGGGGAGTATGATGCGACTCTTCGATCACCGCACAGCAGTAAGCGACTGTAGCACACAGGCATAAGATTGCTATGAGAGCCATCGCCTGAAACTGCTCGGCAGGCGTTGGGCCAAGCCTGACACTGTATGCGGAGACATAACCAAGGATCCTGCCGACTCCGATGCAATTTGTTGCCCACGCATTGGCTCGAGCTTGCTCGGCGCCGGGACAGACGTCCACACTGAGAGCGCGCAACCCCATCTGAAGGGGCTGGATGGCAAAGTTCAACAACCAAATCAGGACCAGTGCAGTCACTAGGATCACTCTCTGCAGCATAGGTTCATCCACTCCCAAAGGAAGACAGACAGCACGAGTTACAGTCTCCACCCAGGCCAACGAGGCCAAGAGTAGGACCGCCCCCACTGCACCGAGCAGGATGAAGGGCCGGCGACGACCGTAACGAGACTTGCATCGGTCGCTCAGGCTTCCCATCCAGGGATACACAAAAGTACCCGCGAGAGGGGCGGACACCCAGGCAAAGGCTGTGAGGGGGGCGGGCAGCCCGAGAGACAGGAGGAAAGACTATCCGGGTTAGTAACAGATTACAGGGGCTCTGGATTGGGATCTCACCGTGCCACTGGATTGCATCATCGTCCATAGGACCTGGAGCCTTGAGAGATTGTCAGGAATGGCTTCGAGGAAAGGAGGGGCACGCGCACCCTCCAAGGCCACAAGTCAGCGCCAGCATCCACCACGGGTCGGCAGCTGTCTTCATCTTCGATAGTGGTAGTTCTTACACTTGTCGCGGGTTCATCCGCTCTCTGCTCTGCCGGAGAATTTATTAACTCTCAATATATCCGTACTGAAGGCCAAACGGAGCAGATGAGTTGGGATTCCTTGGTAGGTGCATCCAGCCTGGTGCTTGATTGTGCGGCAGCGATATTTTTCATGGCTAGACTGCATATCTCGTAGTTCAAGCAGTGTTCCGGGCCCGTGGTTTAGTCTGAGATTGAGACTCGGAGCAAGGTATGAGTATGCATACTTACATGACATTAGTGGAAACATACCTGTAATTTACCACGTATGTAATAAAACAGACTGGTTGTGCGCATGATACTTACCAATATCTTCATGCATGGTTCAGGCAGGGTGATGTGTCGGAATGAAGCGGCTGGTCCTGCAGGATTGGCGCCGTCATGAACTTCGTCTCTTCCGAATATCCATTTATTTACCGAGGCGAAGATGAATCCGACCTTGGAAAGCATCGACAATGCAGACAGACACCATGAATCCTCCAGCCCTCGAAGAGGAAGAAACGCTTCTTGGAACGAGAGATGGTGAGGTGGCTTGCCCTCATTGTGATCATCCACCCAAGCAGAGATCTGTCTTCCAACGCACCCTACCCTTAGCATTGCCGTGGTGTCTCGTCACAATTCTTCTCATTCTGCTCGTTACACCCAGGCTCTGGCTGCCCGAGCAACACTCAGAACTTCTTCTCTATTGTATGTAACTTGTGAAAAGAATGCGTGTATCTTGAGTGCCATGCTTACTTCACAAACAGCACCGGTCAACCCCCTAGTGGAGTACGAGACCCGCACCTTCTACCGCAGCCGCGGGGACGACAAATCCCCCTTCCAAGGCTGGCCCGATGATGAGAAAGACCGACTTTGGCTCGAGTCCTACCACTGTGAGCCCACCTCTTGTCACCCAGTGTGTGTGGAATGCTCACCACTAGTGTCTGCGAGAAACAGCTGGCCTGTTCACATACGTTGACCGGGAGGCGGCCATGCAGCTCCCCAATGTAACCTCTCGCGTCGCCGAACCCGGGCTCGAAGACCAGTACATGGTCGTCCTCGATGTCTTTCACCAGTTGCATTGCCTGGTATGTTAGTTCGTTGCTGCACGATAGCGAGGTAATCTCAATTGCTCATGCCGTCGCTAGAACTTCATTCGCCAGGCCTTTTATCCAGAGCGCTACGGCCGGAGCATGTATCACAAAGACGGAACGCTGGATTACTGTACATGGCTCCACATAGGTATACATTTCAAGGATACGGAAATCCCCGCGTGACAAGCTGCTAACTTTCATCTGCCAGATCACTGTATCGATCAAGTCCGCCAGTCCCTCATATGCTCGGCCGACACCTCAATTATCCCGGTGCAGTGGAATGACGCCACCAAGAGCATGCGACCTCGGGTGGACACCATTCATACCTGTAAGAAGTATGACCAATTGCTTAAGTGGACGATTGGGAGGAATCTGAGCGATTTTCGCGGGGCGGCGCTAGTCGTGGAGGATGAGGTGGGGGGGTTGCGCATTGAGGACTATCTGGAGGACAAGGCAACCGGGAAGATCCAAGTCGCAGAGTCCGAGTGTCACGCTATCTAGTACAGACCGAAGATTTCACTTGCACAATTGCGATTTAACAGTCTGCCTTCTTTGTGTGTTCCTTTTGGCTCAATTCTGCTTTGCAGATCGAAACTGTACATATCAGTTTGATCCGTCTAATGCAAGCTGCGGAGAACCTAACAAGAGGTAGTAGATAGGGCCTCAGCCAAACAAGCTGTCTATGGGACATTCCCGAATGCGATGACAGTGTGACTCCGAGCATAGACGGTGAATCTATCTGCAGCTCCAGATTGCACCGTTTGGCTGCGTCTAATCAAGAATTGGAGGTGGAGAACAGGGACATGACCAAAGCTTGATTTTCTGCAGACGCAGCAGCGCCCAGACCATGGAGATAAGCTTGTCGCATGTCCTTGTCACGGAAATGTACTTTACCGTACCGTCATTCTTACCTAGCCGGTACTATACATCTTTCAAGGTAACTTACCGGGCTGTATTGTATTGTGGCAATACCAGCATTATGCATCAAGGTGGATATGATGCTCCAAACTGGGAACCTCGTACATGCTCATGTCTCCTCAATCTAAGACATGCAGAAAGACACGCGATTGATTTCAAATCAAGACCTTCTGACCAGAGCCCATTCTTTTCCCCAACAAGTCATTTGGGGCTCTGGACGACTGCTTCCTGGCCGCTTCTCATTCGAAGCACAAACACCACGATGGAGGACTCGAAGGCCAAACAACCCTTTCTCTCCTCCTACGCGGAAGGGGGTCAAGATGAAGAGATCGAAGCAGCGGACCTTGATCTAGAGAAAGCATCGGAGTTCTCTACAGCTCGCCGGACAACGGTTCAGTGTGTCCTCTACTTCCTCTTGGTGGTGGGATGGCTCCTGGCAATCACTCTCTGGGTTCGGACAGCACCCGTGCAGACCGCAGACCGCAAGTCTCCCCTGCCGGCCTCGGTGTTCAAGACCGTCAAACGCAGCTTTCAGATGGATGGGCGCTATGTTGGACCGTCCGAGGAGGCGAATGACCACTGGGAGGCTCTGATCGCGGGTACATCCAGTTGACGACCGTGGTAATCAGAAAGATCAATGCTAACAGGTTGGTAGCTCACGACGTTCTCTATATGACCGAGCAAGAGCAACGGGACTACAATCTGCCGCCGGGAATGCCGTCGCCCTACTACCACCCTAATCGACCGAGTCCACCCCCACAAGATTTCTACGTCTTGTCCATCATGCACCAGATGCATTGCTTGGTATGTTTCCTCAGTGAGCCTGTCTGGGCCTATCAAAGCTAATCGACCCAAATCAAGAATCATATTCGCGCCCACTATTGGCAGATCAAGACCGGCGGCCCCAGCACGCCCCAATACACCGAAAAGAAATGGAACGTGCATGTCAACCATTGCTTTGAGTACCTACGCCAGAGTGTCCTCTGTGGCAATGCTATTTTTGAGATCGAAGGATATACACCGCTGTTTGTTCCAGACGAGGGCGTGGCAACGACAGTGTCTGGCTGGGGGGTGGAGCATGAGTGTGTCGACTATGATGCTATTAGTCGTTTTCAGATCGATCGCGAGCGCCAGTACAATCGCACTTGGTTTTAATAGTTGAGATATGACAGAATCGCTTACAGGAGAGTAGATTGGGGATAGCATTGCTCTGACTTTTGCGTACTCTGGAGTTATATTGGGCTTTAAGCTTGAGACAGTGGTCTTCATCGAGACCAGGACAATGAGCATGATCAGAGGACTCGAAATGACGCGTTTCGAACGATACGCTAGTCAGTAGATTCTGATTGATAACCCTCCCCTCACTGCACAAGATATCCCTCCTTATCAGCCCACCAGGTTATAAATACACGTCCCTGCCCACCAACAATCACACGAGCGTAGGTCGACCTCCCACATAGGCACACGGCTCTCGCTCGATGCAGCACTTGCCGCCAAGACCTCAACTTCGTTGCTTCTGAAACCGTCACAATGGAGTTCCTGAACCAGCCCTCAGAGTATTCAAAACTGTCAAACGAGACTGAAACCGATGATGATGCCCTCGGTCCACGATCCCCGTTTCACCGCCCGTGGCTCTCCGAAGTGGTTCACGAATTCTGGCGCAACTACCAGCTCATCGTAGTGAAGAGCATACTCGTACTCGCCCTGATGCTCGCCTCGGCCGCCCTTGGGGCGTTCTGGTCCCGCAGTTTCCCGCACACACACATCCCAGTTGCACCGCCCACGGTCGTGCCTGATGGTGACTTTCTCTCTTCTTCACATGCGGCCATGCGGTCTTTCCCCACGCAAAGAGGATACTGACAACTTCTCTCCATTCCAAAACAGTCCCATACGTATTGGAGAGCTTCAGGCACGATGAAATCTTTGGCGTCGAGCCTACCCGCGATGGTGGAATGTTGAACGAGACATGGGATGCCCTACTCCCTCGTGAGTGCCTACCGCAGACAGCCTCTCCCTTCCCATAAATGTGACTAAAATGCCCTGGATGATACTTTCTACAGCGGGCCGCGGATTCGTCCTCATTCGCGACTACCAGAAATACGGGCTCACCCCCGGCCTTCCCACTGGCGACGGCTATTCACGCTTCTCGATTTCGATGTTTCACCAGCTCCATTGCCTGGTAAGACCTCTGAGCCTCGTCTCTGCATCGGCTAGCTCTGTTAATTTTTTTTTTTTTGCATGTTTCTAATGCCGTGATGTTCGTTGACCCTGTTCCCTGTGGTGCAGGACTACGTCCGCAAAACGATCTACGAGATCATCCTCAAAGTCCAGGAGGGGCGACGGGAGGAAATTGACATCTCCGAGCTCGATCAGGTCGACCACCTGCCCCACTGCATCGACTACATCCGCCAGGGGATCATGTGCGCCGGGGACACGACGATGGAGGGGGCCGTCTACGACCGGCATCGCACCGTCGTCTTCGGGATGGGGAACCCGCATCTCTGCCGCGACTTCCGCGCCATCTACGAGTTCACCAAAGATAATTTTGAGACTGTCTTCTAATTTCTGTCGCGCACCGAAGTGGATGTTACCTCGAGTGTGTTTGGCTGAGTTCTGTTGCTGGACCGGTCGGACGGGATGGAGAGAGCGTAGTCACCTCAGTTCACGCCGTGGTTGTATTCTTTGGGAGGTGTCCGAAGGATTATCCCGGCGGGCTTCGGCCGATTGCGTGCTCTGGTATTTGTGTCTCAACTCACGGGCTTGGTCGGTGCACATATCTGCGTGGTGGTCGCTGGTCTCAATTGAAGGGTGGATTAGCATGTCTAGTGAGCCAGCGTTGGGTGTTCGGGCTACAAGGCTATCATCGACTTCACTACGCGGACATGTTAATTTTATTATTAGAATCAAGCACACACGACTCCACGGTGTGGCTCAAATATACACCATAGTCGAATCACTCCCTCTTCAGGGTATGGAAACTATTCTCACCCTTTATCAACCAATTCAACCCACCCTCTCTCTACATTATTGTAAGACGTATCATACATCTCTAGCATAAATTTTATAAGTTTTATCTTCGCTGAAAACCGCTGCCCGCCCTGCCCAATTTCCATCCAAGCTGCTCCTGCGCACTAAGCCTTTTGCTTATGTCCACCCCATCCAACTTTCCCTGGGGATGTGCTAAGACTGTCAGACGCCCACGCAGATGTACTCATCCAACCAGAGGTCCGTGCAGGCGGACCCGACTTTGGGGTTCCACTCCTCAATATCGGCGACGGTGATGCCGTGACTGCTAGCAATGAACGGGCACGTATCGCCCGAGCGGACGAAATAGAAAGCGGTACAGCCAGCCACCATTTCGGGCTCGAAAGGCGTCGGGATAGTGATGGCTTTGCCGGTGGCGGTTGTCGTGGTCGTCCGCGCTGTGTAGTCCAGGGTCTCGACACAGACATAATAGCCCACGTCAAGGTCGGCGCAGGACGAGCCGACCGCCGGGTTCCAGGTGTAGAAGGTGGACAGTTGAATGTCGTATTTCACGGCGATGGCTTCGCAGCTGTCACCGGATTGAATGAGGTCAAACTTGCTGCAGTTGTCGGTCATGCCGGTCTAGATGGGCGTGGGCGCGGTGATACCATCAGCGGGAGTGGTGGTCGTGGTGGTCGCCGGTATTGTAGTGGTAACGGGAGTGGTGGTGCCGGGGACGTCTACACAGTAGTAGTAGCCTGCCAGGATGTTGGAACACTCTGTGAGGCTGGTCGGCTACGATAATTGGTGTCTATGAGCTGTACCCCTTTTCGTTTCACGGCGTACGGACACTGATCGGAGAACATGGAAGGACCTACCAGAGTCGACAGATGGGTTCCACTTAAGGAGCTGGGTTGCGCTGATGTCAAACTGGGCTTCGATCTTTTTGCACAAGTCTTTAATCTGAACAAGATAGAATTGGTCGCAATTGGCGGCGGTGCCGGTTTGTTGCGGTTGATGTGGAGTCAATGAGGATAGCGATGTCATTGTTGACGTGGAGGTAGTGAGAGTTGAGGAGGAGCTTGTAGTCGATCCACCAGATAAAGCTGTGCCGACTACACAGTAGTTCTGACCGGCCACGAGGGCCGGGCAGGTGATGCCCGGGTTGAGAGACTCGAAGGTTTGCACGTCCAAGCCCCAATCCGCCGAGAAAGAGTGGCAAGTATCTCCGGAGCTGGCTGCCGTCTCATAGGTGCAAATCACTTGCTGGCGCGGGGCGATGGCCATACCCCATGCCAGGTGTAGCTGCTCGAGTAGAAGACGACCTGCCGTGAGGGATCTTGGAGACATCATGGTTGGTTAATGCTTGTTCGAGAACGAAGGGGCGAGATACTTGAGCAAGCCAAAAGACAGTGATGGGGAACAATAAAGCTCTGTTCTGCTGTCATCAGGTCTGACCGTCGAGCGTTTTATATCCTGTCGTGCAACCGGACAGCCACGGAAATCAATCTCAGCACTGAACATCACCTGGTATAGAAGATGGTGTGGCCTTCAATTCTTCGAAAGACATGGGAAACGAGAGTTTGACGCGATACACGGAGTACTCCGCACTAATACCTTGTCCGCCTCTGTGGGGCGTGGAATGACACCCGTCTTCCGCGCTTTTCAGCCCCCAATCCAATTGAGGATTCGGTAAAATCTCGCAAAGCTTCTCAGGGCTCGGGTTTGAGTCATAGGTAGAACAGACAGAAACCAAATGTACCGCAAGTGTACAGTTCATGACTTCCAACTGATCGAATTGAACTCGACGAACAAATATGCTCGGGCAATACAACTAGAAAGCCTTTGAGTATAGGTACATGTCGTTTTTCCTGGAATAGCTGTTTGTAATCTGTATAGAGTGGCTTTCCCGTCTGTCCAAGTGAGCCTCTTCCATGTATCGGGGTGACTCATTCGCCGCGAGAGGTAGTCGTCAATTCTTCCAGTTTGCTGTCTAAAGTCCCGCTTGAAGCATCATCCTTCACTCAGCGGCTACCCCGTTATCTTACTATTAACTGCGAAAACAAATCATTCTAATCATGCATTGAATGAAATTGCGAATTCTATCAAGCCCTCGTGTTCAGGCGAGTGAGGTGGATATGGAATGCTAATAGTTACTAGGTATGTACGTACTGTACAGTGTTGTGGGGCGTGCAGGCACCGCCGGCGTTCCGATCTATCATCTCACAACCCCGAGGATCCCGAAAAAGCTTCGCAAAATTCTGCAAAGCTTGGCTCAGACCCTAGTTTACCGAAGGGCCCAATCATCCTGCCGGCACAGAAATTTGCCCCCCACCCCGCCACCAATGTCGCATGCATCGAGTCAGTCAATCGAAAATATCTCTATTAGACGTCGGAACTTTGATTTCTTTCAATGTTGTTGCCTTAAGCACTGCTCATCAGGAGGTCGAAGGAACACCCCATTCAAGGAGCTGAAAACGAGGCCTCTACTGGATAGTACGGGCACATTTCTCACGCCTACCACAGGTCCATAGACTCCACGCATTGATCGGGCCCCTGTCCGCGGGTGGCTGTCGGTGTGCGAGGCTAGTCCTGCCTCACGGGGCATTGGTCAGGCTGGATTGCCTAAATTAAACCCGCTCATCTTGTAATATCTATTCTGAAAATGATTCGCCTTGTAAGTCTAGCCCTTTTCCGCTTGCTCTTCGTCTTCACCTTGTCTCCAGCGCTTGAATTGTTTTTTTCGTGCTCGAGAACTCCTGCCAGTGGCGTTAGAGTCTAACAAGTTCTCGGAGCTTGACCCGTCAGTGATCTAAGTTAGCCAGTCAACCAAATAGCGGAATAGGCTAGACTTCCGAGGACTTTGTCATAGCAGAACTCTAAACGAGGGGAAGCCTGCTCAGGTGCTTGGGTAGAGCGCAATGGGCGATTTTAGCTCTGACTCTTTGCCCTTTCGCGAACAGGCGGAAAGGGGCACCGGCATTTCCGGCGTGTGGAGGCGAAAAGTGAGCCTTCAAAGTACGTGATTCGGGGTCAGGGACGACCGGACTAACAGCAGCGAAGCTCCTTCAAGAGTCTCCGATTTTTCCAATAGCTCAGCTCGCGTAGATGAATGGATGGACTTTGGAGGAAGTCCCGGTATTCGGTTTGAGTGGTCCCAACCGGTAGTTTTCAAGGTTTTACACGCATAGTCTCTTATAGAGCAGAGAGCCAAGCTTTGGGGGGCCATGGAAGGCGGGCCGAGTACCAAAGTATACATGTCAGAATGACATTTTACCTTTGTGATACACATTTTCACCAACGCCGGGCCGATCACTCCTAGAGCTGTCAAGTATCACGAGTCTGCACTTGCGTTGGTCATTGACTTTGAGGAATTATAGGCACGATAGCACTTACATTGAGCGATATATGGAAAGATACCAGGAGAAAACCTTACGTGTTGATATCACTTCAGTATCATGACCAAAGACATTACTCTAACGATTGAAAAGGTTTTCCCCAAATCGGGATCTCGGTTGACAAGCTTTCTGCCCCTCTTAAACCTTGTTGAATAGAAGAGATTGTGTGCGTGACTTCACAAGATATGTCTGGAATCTCATTCCGATCGTGTGTCTTTTCGTATTCTGGTTAGTCGAAGCGAGAATCGGAGCCTAGGGTCAGCTGGAAAGTGGTATGTAAATGGCCACCTCGATACGCGCCTTACACTCTAAACCCTATCAAGATTAGTGCTTGCTGCCAAGACAAACAAGCTCATTGGTCGATGGGGGTGTCCACTTTTGAACCCTCCGATTTTCTGCCTGCTTTCTGGCAATTTGTCGCTTTGTGGCTTGGAGTGCGGCCGTCAGCTCGCTGCGGAAACTGGATGCAAAAGGTTTAGGAGCCTATATCTGGAGTCGCAGTTTGGTGGATCCGACAGCGCTTTTACACAATCTACAAATAATTACTGTGTAGGAGCTAAAAAGCTAAAAAGACAATCCTTTGTGCGGAGCCGACAATACTAGAACGATTTTCATACAAGGAAAAGTATTTGACAAATAGCCTCAATGTTGCTGATTTGCTACATATGAGGAAGGCCCGGTTGCCCTTCCAGGCATTGCGGCCAGGGGCTCGCTCCCGCACTAGATACTGTACTGTACACTCCGTGATCATCCGAGGTGAATCAAGGCAGTCACGAGGGCCAACAGCGTAAGCCATGTCGACACTGCTGCTGCCATATGCAATGTTGCCGCGACATTCGAGGATTCGACCGGGAATGCCGGACAACTGACATTAGGGTACACCCCAGTCTCCATAGGAGAACATGCCATCTCCGTGGCGGCTGCCATGATACTGGATGCGGCCGAAGGATTGATTGTCACCGAGCACGGGTTGGCAGTCACATTGGGACCCATAAAGCCGCATCCGTAATCGCCCCCAGTGACATTATATGCATAGGCGACTGTGGCGCCACACGTCTCGGAAGATGTGGCTGCCACGAGATCAGGGGCCTTCCCTGACCGGCGACTGACAGTGAAAGTGGTGGTATTGCTGGTCGTGATAAATTGAACACCTTGCTTTTCCGGATTGTCAGAGCAATTGTAAAGCTGAAGACTCCAGCTCAAGGTCCAGAAGCCTTCCGGATAATTGACAGTGTTGAAGAATCGGGTGACGAAGTGAGGTTCCGACGAAGTGAGGTTCCAATTGTCGCCCACATCCAGCTCCAAGACCCCGTCAATAATGGAGCCCGGGGATGTAAGATTGTTGCCTTCCCACACGCTCCAGAAAATACTAGCTGCAGTAGCATAAGATAAAGCCGGACTCTGCAGCGCAAACACAATGGGCATCAACGCCTGAGGGGTGTAGGTCATGTTGCGCGGGGATATCAAGTCTACTTCAAAGATTCTCCAATCGGCAGCGGTAGCAGTGCCTATTGCCAGCACCGAGTTTGCCATCAGCGCGCACTAAGCAAAAAAGCGAACGTGATTCATGCTTGAAGGTGCTTGAAGGTGTTGTTGGAAAAGGAAGGTGGAAGGTGAAAAAAGGATTGAAGGTTGAATTGGAGGGCGATTTGGACTGCCTCAGCTGGCTGTCATAGTGGGAGGAGAACAACCTGAGGAAATAGATAATGAAAGGATTTTTCAGGGGGCCGATCGGAAATCACGGGATGGCGTAGGAATAATAGTGCCATCTCTGCAGGCTGCGCCATTAATGCCTAATAAGGGTTGGTGGGGTCTTTTTCTAAGTAGACCCTCTGTGATTCAGGTAGTGAGTTAGTGAATTGTTAGCGTGCCCTAATCCCGGATGGGGTTCTGTTTTGCCTCTACTGCCTCTACTTGTTGTTTCTGTTATTCTTGATCCGCAACAATCCCATCACTCCTCCAAACAAACGGATGTCGACGCAACTAATCTCCGACTGACCAAGTATGAGGGTTCAATACTCAATCGACCCGCTCGGAGATGCCCACAGCCTCCGGTCATCAGCCAAGTATAAAATTTCCGGTCATCTCGCCTTCCTCTGACAGAATTATCAGACGCATTGTACGCTAGATTTCTTTCTTTTTCAATTCTTCTGCGTGGCTTCGGCCGCGCAATACCTTCCTTACCTTCCTCTACATCAATCTTTTTACCTTTTCCTTCGCCGTTGACTCATCGGTCGCCATCAACGTGCCCATTTGGCTTCCTGCGAGTCCCGGGTACCAGGGCAGATCGGTCTCTTGTTCAGCCCGATGTGCCGCATCAGGGCCTAATCCTGGCAATCGGTCTCTATATCACAACTTCGAACAACTCGCATCGTGCAAAGTGTCTCTTTTTATTCCTTTTCATTTTATGATCCTGTTGACGATCCGGACAGCTTTCATCGCATCCATACCTGCAACTCTTTCGGTCCTGATTGGGCGACGTTGCCGGTCAATACATCAAACCTCGCCTTGCAGTCTAAAGATGCCCCAGCCCCCGTAAATGGCACATATCAGATTGGATTCTGGCCCTCCAGTGAGGGCTTATCGGTTTCTCCTTCGCTCGCCACCCTCGTCAAGCAGCTCCGCCAATATCTGTCCAATGGATTCGGCGCAGTGAATCGTCCAACAATAACCTTTGCCAGCTACGGCTCAAGCTCGGTGGGCCTCTACGTCGGTCAAGGTCTGCAGAGTCAGGGTGTTGGTGATGTCGCGCTGGCATACCTGGAAAGGTCCATTGCAGGATCCAACGCTAGCCTTGGAGCGAGTGTGGCCATGCAATTCTGCGAGCCGGGTCAGACTTCTCACCACGTTCGGCCTTATAGCCACCGGCAACGGAACTTTCGCTGCTGTACAAGAAGCGCTCACATCGTCGTCCAAGGCGGAATGTTTGGCATTGCCATCGGTCCAAAACATCACGGGCAAAGTCCCCCTTGCGACGCCGCTGTACTCTGTTTCCTCCAACTCTAGCAATATCAGCGTCAACCTCAACTCCAACTCCACCTATGCTTCTCCCGACTCGATATCCTCTGTTCGTCGGCGCAGGTCCCTCGCTCCTCGGAGCACCTGCTCCACCGCTTAGGTCGTCTCTGGTGATACTTGTACTACGTTGGCGGAAAAATGTGGTATCACCCCGGCTCAATTCACCAACTATAATTCCGAGTCAAACGAGTGCTCTTCTCTGATTGCAGGTGAGCACGTCTGCTGTTCGGCCGGTACATTGCCCGACTTCGCTCCTAAACCGTAGTCCGATGGTAGTTGTGCGTGCTGTGATGTATGGGGCCAAGTAGTTCCCTATTTCTCGCTCGATGCCTCAATCTCTGCCTGTTACTGACAATGATTTCAATGTGGTGTGACCGCCGAGTTCTGCACCAACACTGGCACAGGTGCCCCTGGAACAGCGGCGAATGGGACCGATGTCTGTATCTCGAACTGTGGCACTGAGATGGTGCTGAATAGCCCTCCTACCACCTACCGGAGCATTGCTTACTACAAGGGATACAACGTGCAGCGTCCGTGTCTGTACCAGAACGTGTCGCAGATTGACACTTCTATCTACACCCACATTTACTTCTCCTTTGGCGCGTTATCTTCCTCCTATATAGTCCAAATTCCAGACAAGACTACACTATTCGAGTTCACCCGGTTCACACAGATCCAAGGCGCTAAACGCATTCTGTCAATCGGTGGCTGGGCATTTTCCACCGACCCGAGCACGTACATGATCTTCCGTGAGGGTGTTACGGCCGCCAATCGTCTGACCATGGCCACCAACATCGCCAACTTCATCAAAGAGTACGATCTCGATGGAGTCAACATCGACTGGGAATAACCGGGAAGAAGAGCATACACCGCCTTCACCCTTTCACCCACCGCTGTATTCCCGTGGCTAATCAACCTTCCGTTCTTTTCCCATTCCAGGCACCGGATATTCCAGGCATTCCTGCTGCGAGTCCTGATGACGGCGACAACTATCTTGCTTTCCTTGCTATCTTACGGAATCTTCTTGACGACCGGGAAGTTACGATTGCGGCACCGTCATCCTATTGGTACCTGAAGGGCTTCCCTATCAAGAAGATGGCTCCGCTCCTGGACTGCATCATCTATATGACCTACGATCTTCACGGACAGTGGGATTCTGACAGCCAATGGTCTCAGCTTGGCTATTCGACGGGCAATTGCTTGCGCTCGGACGTGAACCTGACGGAAACCATCAGTGCTCTGGTTATGATCACCAAAGCCGGGGTCCCCTCCAACCAGGTTGTGGTCGGTGTGACCAGCTACGGGCGCTCCTTCGCCATGGCCGAAGCCGGCTGCTACGGGCCCGAATGCACATTCTTGGGCTCAGCCGACGGCTCGCAAGCCAAACCGGGCCCGTGTACGCAAAGTCCCGGGTACATCCCCAATGCCGAAATCGAGGCCATCCTCGCCGACCCGAGCCGGGTCACTGAGAGTTATATCGACACGGCAGGTAACTCCAATATCCTGGTGTACGACGACACGCAATTGGTCGGCTGGATGAGTGACGGCATCAAGGCGTCCCGAAGATCCCTCTATAAGGGCCTCGCCATGGGGGGAACCACCGATTGGGCGACCGACCTGCAAAAGGACAATCCTCCCCCTTACCCAGCCAAGAGCTGGGCCGGAGTCATCGACGACGTCGTCCTGGACAAAGTCATGTCGAGGGGAACCGGACCGGCAACTGGACCTCCTTGACGTGCTCGGATCCGGCTATACAAGACGCTCTGTACATGCCGTGCGCCCAGCGCTGGTCGGAGCTGGACGCCTCGGATGCGTGGTCCGACACTATTAGCATCTGGGAGAATATCGACGAGCAAAAGCTGACTGGTTCGGATGACGAGAGGAAATTCTCCTACTCCCTTATGAATACTTTCCATGTCGGCGAATCCACCAATTGTGGCCTGGTCGCCCCAGGAGGCTCTTGTTCCGACACCTACCCGTGTTCCGTATTTCGGTGATCTATGAATCTCTCACAGTCATCAACTCGGTAAGCCGACGAATTTACCAAATGAATGAATCAATCAATGAATGAGTGAGTGTGGCTGATGACGATTCCTCTCTGGATTCCAGATGTACTCCCAGTTCTTCGATGCCATCAGCGTAGCTGCTGGAACGTACATCGACAACCAGCTCCAGGACTTTGAAAGCACCTTCGCACCGGTGCCTCCAGCTCCCAGTGACGAGTAGCTGGTGATCTTGACCAACCTCCTAGGTCTTGGTCTCACTGCGGTGGCTGCACCGTACTTCGACGGAGGTAGATTACCTGGACAGACATCTCGAGTGTCCCCCCCCCCTCAACCAACCTAATTCTGACGATTCCATAGTGTTTGAAAGTCTACCGGCGCTCAGCTCAGTTCTGGGCGACGCTGGCGCCGACACCGCCAAAGACATCAGCAATGCCGCGGTCGCGTTTGGGGCTGCAATTGCGTCCGCCGTCATACCGGAAGGTGAACCGTAAGTGACCTCAATCGAACGGAGGGGAAGGCCGAGGGGAAAATCGTTGCTGATTAGACCCCTGTGTGAACCCAGAGGTCATTGGACCGCACAATCGCAGGACAGTTTCACCGCCACGCTGGGCTCGGTGATCTCTGGGTGGGCGAACGTGACGCAGAACCAACTCTGGGATCTGTTCAACGGATCCGAGACGTCGATCACGCTTCTGACGCAGATGATCGCCAATGGAAATCTCATCGAGGGCAGCGGCGCTGTCCCCTCAGTCAGTCCCAGCACGACCCCGGAAACCACCACGCAGATCGAGAGCTCCATCAACAAGGCATTCTTCGGCTTCGCGATCCCGTCGGTGTGGGCCGTCTCCGGCGCCGACGCCTTTGTCGTGGACTCGGGCTATAACTGCAGCGCGCAGAACCCACTGTCCGGCTACATGACGGCGGCCACCCAAGAGGCGACCTACTCGTGCTACAACGACAAGCTCTACTACCTGGTACGTGCCGACGGGAAGTGGAGCGGCTGCCCCGCGGAGAAGAAGCTGGGCAAGCGGGTGGATTGTCCGGAACTGCGGCACCTCCGAGTGCGGCGAGGACGCGACCTACTTCACAGCGCCCCGGGGCCTGAGCAGCCTCGGCGGGGACGCCTGGGGTGGCATCACCCTGGACGACCTCATCAAGGGCTCCGTCCGCACCTACGTCGCCAACGGCAACGCCAACGGCGGGCCCGTCGCGAACCCGCTGGACCAGGACACGCTGCAGGACCTCTCCAACCAGGACATCACCACCCCCGGCTACATCCGCCTCCCCGTGTGCAGTCCGCAGGTCGCCTGGGCCTCGTGGTCCAACCCGTCGCCGTCCAACGCCAGCGCCCCGAACTACCCCTGCAACCCGCTGCAGGGCGTGACCAAGTGCAGCGGCTACACCTACGTGGACCAGACCACCTCCGCCTCCCCGCTGGTGTCCGACTGCAAAACCATCATCCAGAACATCCAGGGCACCAACGGCCAATGGACGACCGGGATTGACCGTCAACGCGCAATTGCCACGTACGGCTCGTGCAAGTTCGGCGTCCAGAACGTTGGTGTCACGGGCGACGTCACCTACTACACGGGAAGTCAGGATATCGTGACCATCATCACCGAGGCCATCACCGAGTGCGAGTGGGAGGGCCGTGTCGGGGCGAAAGGCTATATGGAGTGCGACGGGGACGCAGGCCACCAGAAGGTCAAGTGGGGGCTGTATTAGTATCACATCAACTATACCTAACAGGTTGTCGGCCCCCCGTTGGCTTTGTCGACTGAGTGTTCATCTACTGGCAGCTTACCCCCGTCAGGATGACTAGATGCTATCCAGGACATGCCTGGGGATGACTTCCAGCCTCCTTGCAGCCAAACCATGTCGCCCGCCCACGGGCCCATAATTGATACCAATGTTTGGCCGAGACAAATCACCTGGTAGTTCTAATTCTATAAATATGCCTCTTCTATTGCAGCTGCTATCCAATGGCATTTGACCTTCATGTTACAGTAACATCGTAGTTAGAAGATTGTAAGAACTGGCAGAAGACCACGCGATACCGCAGTACAGCATTATAAAGATAGGGATGCCGAAAAAAGCGGCGAAGAAGGTGCTGGCGGCATACCAGAAGAAAAATATCAAAAGCTGTCAAGAAGTACCGAGAAATGTAGCCGTTGTTGCCGATATATATCGCAGCGGGATGCGGGCGGAAAATACACAACTTTTTAATGTAGTACTCCAAACGCGGATATTCTTATGAAAGAAGAAGTAGGTAAAACTACAGTAGAACAGAAGAATTAAATTGAATATATCAATAAAGCAATAAGCCAGGCAGAAATAGTAGCTGCTGCCAACAGCTATATAATAAATGAGCAGGACAAGAAGAACAAAGACAGTAGCAAGTGATAGTACGTAGTAGGGGGAAAAAAAAGAAAGCCCAACGCGGGGCTCGAACCCGCAGCCTTGAGATTAAGAGTCTCACGCTCTACCGATTGAGCTAGCCGGGCTAACTACGGAAGCAATTGCAACCCTGTGTAAATATATTCACCCAATCTATCCTATTAATCAATATCGCCCCCCGTTTACCCTGTGTCTGTTGCAAAGCCAGCGTGGATGCGCTGCTCCCTTAACAATAACTCTACCATCTCTTACTTTCTCTCAGCTTGGCCGCCTTGTCTTTGTGTCTCATGTTCCTTCCACTCCCGGAGTCATACACATCTTCGGCCAAGACATCCCAGATAGGCAGTCAAGCCGTCGATCTTATGCACATCCCTGCACACTGCCGTCATCTCACCCTCCTCCATCACATGGGAGAGGACGAGCAGAATCGCAACATCGACCAGCTTCATCAGAGTCCAGCTCGAGTCAAACCATTATCTTGGAGCATTACCAGACTATTCGACATGCTCGACACAAGCAACTCTATTGCTCTAACCGCCTTTATTGTCTCCTTGGTTGCTCTCACAGTGACTCTCTTCCAGCTCCTCCAGCAATACTTTGCAACAGCGCAGGGCTACAACCGATGTTCCAGACGACTGATCGGCGACTGGTCGCGCTTCCGGCATCGCCACTATCTGTGGCGCGAATTTCGGTTTGAGGTCACCTTCGTAAGACCATATATTTATCTTGGGAATCTTAATCCTTCTCACCCCATTCCGGATACTGAAGGTCCATCGGCAACATGGCACAATCTGTTTTCTCCCTCCCGAAGAGACCAAAAGTGGCGAGCGAAGTATCTTGGAAGGTCCATGAGCATAAGCGAGCTACCAGGGGAGTTAACTGATGCCTGCACGCAGGCTTCCTGGACTCTTTTTCTGAAGCACTTGCAGGAATACAATAGACATGCTGCAAGGCGTATGCAGCATGCCACTTACGACCCACCATCACCATCGACAACGACACATTCTCCCTCATCGACCTACGGTATCTGCATCAAATTCGAGCCCTGCACGTGGGACGACCTCCCCGGAAACCCTGGCACACTGACAGGCTCGGTGTCCCTCCGTGACCTAACCATCTTCACTCGCCTTTTGGGCTTGAACTGGTCAGGTGGGCCATTTATGAGTAGCCTACAGAGGTCAGCATCTAAAGAGGAGAGTAAATCGGACACGAGCTTGTCTCCCAGAGGCAGCCTCCAGGCATCAGGAAACACCCTCATCCTCGCAGAAAGGTCCACTCCGCTGCTGCGCTACGAGCAACAAGACTTCACCCCGCCCCGGCTCCACCTCTCCCGCAGGGAGACCTTCATCATTCATCCCGGGGCGGTGGCAATGTTCTACGGACGGATTGTCCTAGACCCCGTTCTCTTCCCAGCCCACTCCCAATCCGTCGTTCTGGACGGTGACCAGGCCTGGGAGACCCTCTCCAGCACCATGTGGCTCCCACTCCCACCACGAGCAAGTCTAGTCAACATTCTCCCAGCCTTGTGTTCCGCGATCCTCAGCGAAAGAGATCTCTACTCAGTGCGCGTGCCGAGACCGCACCGGTACCTCCTTGGTCCGTTCACCAGACCCAAAATTGCGATAATCTTCAAGCGTGGTCTAGAGAGTATACAATCCCAGCAGCAGCAGCAGCAGCAAGAAGGGAGTGCTTCGAGTGTTGTGGACGGAATCTTAGAGGCGATCAACGAGCTAGAGCAGTTCCCTCGACCACAACAACACCCTGCCCGTCCTTGTTCCACCTCTTCCTCCCCTTCTATTACGACGACAACCACTCCAACCCGCGTAACAGACTACTGGACCGTGTCGCAAGGCGCATATCCAGCCTGGGCCACAGACTTAGAAACCTCCCCCGAAGCCAGCTTCTTCAACGAGAGGGTCCACCACTGGCTATCCTGGGTCCAGCAGGAACTCAGCCAGCTTGTATCTCGGGAAGATGATCATATCGGACCCTACAGCTTCTTCCACTGGGATCTGGTCTCCTCATTCCTCGAGTTCATCGTCGCCTTCGAAGACGGTGGTGAGGAGGCGGCAGCGCAGGACGACCATGACGAAGCCAAGCAAGACACGACAGAGGCCAGACCGACAAGGCAACGACAGCCACATCCGCAGCACAAACCAAAGCAGCGGCCCCACACGAATAGCAAGAACCCCTTCGCCACCTGGCGCCGAAACATGCACGCCCTCTTCGACCACCTCCCCACCATCGAAGCCCATGTTCGCAGACGCGGGAGACGACGCGCCGAGATGTGCGCCAATGGATACCACATGTCCCCAACCACCGGCCTGGGGGACCAGTTCGATGTTGTGATCTCGTGTGAGGGCGTGGTGGGGTATGACCAGGTTGGTTCGGAGGAGATCCGCGATGCGTGTCTGGGGATGATTTTTCGGGCCATATGTTGGTACGTTGTTCCTAGCGTTCCCTTCTCTCTATGTTTAAGAGACTTGCGGTACGGTTTTGTGGAGGAAATGCTGCTGACAGGATCATCTCTGCCAGGCATCGATGTCATTATATGAGTCCGGAGGATGAGCCGTTCCGGTCCGACTTTTATGGCAACATACAACAGGTGGGGATTGAATAAGGTGACTTGTTGTCTGAAGGGATAAGGTGGGTCAGTTTAGCATGGCTCAACCTGCATGGTGTTTCCTCAAGCTTGGGATCAGAAATACCCGAACAGTCGCGGTATGAAGGTGAGGCAAATTGAAAAGCTTACCGCTCTCAAACCCCGGGAGAATTGTAGATTGCGCCGGGTATTTGAGCCGGTCATGCGATCCCGACAGTTTTCAGTATTCATTTTGACAGTATACAATAATCAAGCATAGATACGGTTCCCAGAATGTAAGACTAGCTAAGCATCTCTGAGTTACAATCCCATTTGGACCCGCTGGGCTAGGGCTCGGGATGACCTCGCGGCTTTTCCGGTCGCCACGGAGGGTCCGGACCTGCTCAGAGACGATTTTATCCCCTCCAAGTTCCGCACAATGCAATGAAAAGTCCGATCGAAACAGATATTGAGAGGTGTCTTGCTCGGTCATCCATTCGACTCCGGTATTTATGTCTCAATTCAAATCAATTTGTCCATAATCCGGAATTTTGAAAAGTAAGATATCTGATGAATATCAACCCTCTCCGCCGACTCCTAGGTTGATTACCACGGTTCTTTACCGTGATGCTGGAAGGGTTCACTGCTAGATGGACATTACTGGTGGAAAATCGATTTCATACAGGAGATACGGGTGAAGTGTGAAGTGACCTCTAGAAGAGTAAACACTGCGTGATTAAAGGTCGACGATCAGGACGGAAGATACTGGATAAAGGATGGGGGGCGAATAGCAGGTTAGCCCTATAGCCAGATGAATGAGGTTAAGCCAACCGATTTGGGCAAGCTTTGCGACCACGGGCAAAATAAATCTCCTACTTTATGAGGACTAGTCCCAGCTGTTATTTTATGCCACGTGAGCTGGAGCCTGTGGAAGGATGCCCCGCTAACCAAACCTGGTATTCTTCCCTGCTCACTAAGGCTTGAATTGATCAAGCTTCGGCCCCCACGCCGCTCCAACAACCCCAACTAACCCCAAAACGCACAAGCATGATCCTGATGGTGTGGATCGCTCACCACCTCACAAGATCAGATCACTGGCAAAGAACAGTTTCATTCACGGAGTCAACTCCATGGCCCCCCTCACCATCAACACGGAGCTGAAGAGCCGTAGAAGAGCCGAGTGCCGTTGTGAACAATCATCTCCGGGAGAAAGGATAACCGGCTTAGAAAGATATAAAATCAACAAAGGAGGAATGCATAGCATTGGATCTCATCATCGCCGTTCAATTCCATCAATTTGATTCCTTAACCCAACACAACAAATCGAATCTCTGCTCATCAGTCACCGCCACCTCTCTCTCCCATAACTCTCCCATAGAACATGAAGCCCATCTTCGCCCTCTGTGCCTTCGGCCTCCTTGCAATCCAGGCTCGGGCCGCCTGCTACAAATCCGACACTTACTGCTCTGATTGGGGAGCCAAGGTGTGCGAATGTGATGAAGGGTATCTGGTACGAGATTCCATTGAAGTCGGCGCAGCCTTTCTCAGCAGAGAAAGTTGAGATGGTGGAAAGCTAATTTTGGTTGTCTTCTGTATAGATGGAATGCGAGGAATACCTCGTCTCCGAGGTGGATGGCGAGGGCGGCGAATCGTACGCCTTGTGGACGAGGATCAAAAATTGTCCCGTCCCGGCCGATGGAGGGCTTCAGTGTGTCGATGGGGCATGTACCTCTTGAATGGCTCGGGTACGGCATGTTCTGTTCGTGTCGTTTGTTCACGGATGACTGGGCGTGCCTGGACGAGCCCTCGGCGTGAAAGAAGAGGGACGAAGCCACCGGCAAGGAGAGGCCGGAAGGGTAGAATAGTTAAAGCCCAGAGGACGAGTAGGACGGAGGTCGAAGCTTTTCGAGATGCGACAGATGGAATATCAACAACTTAGTCTCTCGGTGGATAATAGGGATTGGTAGTGAGAATAATCAGAAGACGAAAACTTCTTGACATCGTCTCCGGGGATATTAACATAGATCTCGACATACTTAGTCATATTTATAGTTGCTACGAGTCTGATACTATGATGGTCTTTAAACTTAATGCATCATACGAATATAGTAGCATCTCTTAAACTTTCATCATAGAACCATTGTTGCTACTATGCTCCTACTCCAGACGTTAACTAACAAGAAGACCTGAGCATGTCTAAGCAGGACTAACAACAGCACGGAATCGAAACCAGATCGCCCACCGCATGCTCACACTGCGACTCACCTGTCAAAGCGATGCTATATATCACAGTAAAAAGATGCGAACTCAAGGCAGCAAGAGATCTCTATAGATAACAGATATATTCGTCGAGTCGAGCACGTAGTTTTTACTTCTCCTGATGGTGTTCCAATCGATATCAAGAACTTTATAAAATATAATTTAGACCTTTTGGGCTGTCCAGGGACAAAGATAAACTGGGGATACCTATTCTGTGACGACAGGGCTCTCAGGCAACTCATGTGCTCTTAACTTAAGATACACCGCTTGGCTTGAAGGTAATATTAGATGAAATTGTTTTGTACTCTACAATTTATTATCTTGTTGAGTCGTAGATTCGGCGATAGTGCAACCCGTTCTGATATGATAAACCCCTCTCCGAGACGGGGCTAAGATATGGCCATATTCACTAGAACAAAGAAAAGATCAAAATCCTTCTTTCCGGAACCTTAAGCCCAGATTCAAGGTGAATAGTACACCATTAGGTTAACATTCACAAGAATCAGGCTACCAGACAGTTCCATGTAGTGGAAAGGCTATATAAGAATCATCCTCCACTTATGTCAACCTCAACTGAACTTCTCTTTCATCACCATCCACAACACCCACAACCCCCCCAACACCAACATCACTCCATTTCATCCAACCACCGTCTGACACCATGTCATCCTCAGAGACCTACGAAACTCGCTACAGCCGATACAAACGATCGACTCGAAACGTGGCGATATGGCTGGCGGTAACCGACCTGGACTTCAAGCCTCCCCAGCAGGGCGAGTACATCCTCACAGCGAATCAGTTCGTGGAGCTGGCGAACAACATCGTCGCCTGCAAGTATGCAGACCACGTCCCCAGACCGATCATTAGCGACCTTCGATACACCATGGACAGCCGTCGGGCCCCAGTCCAAATTCTATCAAGATGAGGGCTCGGCGTCGTGCAAGTCTCACCAGCACTTCATCCAGCAGCTTGAACAACTTTACCAGACCTTGCGTCCTCTTATACTAGACGACGAGGAGACACCCCTTGACGGAGACGATGAGCCTGACACGGCTGCGATGGCGAATCGGTTCGATGGACTTAAGATTGAAGAACCCTCGAAGGAGTTCCTAGATGCTCCAGACGCTCCCACGCGCTCCACCTGTCCTACTGAGAATCTCACCGTCGAAGATTCTACCGATCGAGTGTTTGGAGTCCTCCTCCTCCTTCAAGACCTTTGGTCGATCCGTCATTCCACCCAGAAAACATGGGCGGATTACCGCCAGGGAAAATGCACCCTCGAGGCCGCGGCCGTGACCACCGATATTGCGCTCCACGTCGCTGCCGAATTATTGCAACAGGGCCTGAAGCCTTTCAGCGAGGACCTCCAGGGCTTCGACAAGATCATGACCAATATACTCCAGGAAATGTACCGCACCCCGCCGCAGGATCGACCGTACTGGCACGAAGTGGTGAGGAACTTGCACATGGTGGCGGAGATTCTACATTTCGTCGTCGGAGGCTGGAAGGAGGATGGTGATGGCGTGCTGTCAGAGGGGACGACGCCGGTCCTCGATCTCAGCCGAGCCCTCGATGAGATGACGGACAACGAGCGAAATGTTGTCGCCTTTGTACTGCTAAAGGAGGTGGTTCGCGAATGCGGCTTGTGGGGCCGGTATCACCCGCGTCTCTGTGCCACGATGGACTGGTTCACCATGATGCTGGGCCACGGATTGTCGCAACGCGCGATTAACTACGAGCTCGCATTTGGCGGCCTTGTTTACATTGACATTCGTCTCGCGATGGGTGCGGAGGTCGCCCAGCCCCGTCTGCAGCTTCAGGAGTGGACTAAGTCGACCACCGCTCTTATCAAGCAACTCTCCAAAACAGGCGCTCCTGGCTTGGAACAGCTGGAAGATTTCATCAGGATTATCAAGAAGACACTCGGGAAGGACCTTGTCAACGCTCGACGTGAGTCGCTCGGCATCCCAACGGAGCAGCCTTTCGGACTCTTCTCGAGTCAGCCCCTGCTCGCCGGGAAACTGCTGTGGCTCTGGAAGGGCTCCCTGTATCGACGCCTCCTTATTTTGACCAGATCCCGGGGTGTCCTCTTGGGGATGTTCCATCTCTACAACGCCGTCGCCTGCGAGGGCCTGCTGCCAGACGGTCGGACCTGGCGCGCCCTGCAGCAGCTGATCGACACTCTCAATTCTGTCTTCCTCGGAGGGAAGCTTCCCACGGAGCGTGCGCGGTACAGATCCTCCCTGCAATTCAGCCTCAGTCCGAAGGGCAGGGCCCGCTGGGTCGACGACGGTCTCATTCCGCTTATGAACCAGATGGTGAGCAGCTTGCAGAACGTTCAGCTGCACTGGACGTCCCAGGATATCCAGCGCGTGCTCGCCGACTCCAATAGGTCCACCAACACAAAGAAGACCGATCAGGGTCCGCCGCCGCCGGTGTATGAGGTCCTGGACCAGCTGCGCCGCAACCTCAATCTCGAAGCCGATCGACTCAGTCTACCCTGGCTGCAATGCCACCTCGACGCCACCAGAATTCTCCAGCAGGTTCTTGAGAAAGAGAAAGAAATCCGCAGATCCCCGCTTATCTCTCAAGATGATCTCCTCGTCGGCGTTGCGGTGGTGATCTTTTCGCACAAGAAAGAGCGCAAGTTCCTGGGCAAGGTTGCGCAGATCATGAAAGCTGTGCTTGGGTCGAAGTAATTTGAACGTGCTTGATATCATCTTGTTCATTCCGCTTGACATCAGTCATCTGTAACAGAAAATCACTGATTTGCACAAAAGCCAAGAGTGTTTTGCATGAAGCTTGTGGGCTTGGTGATGCTCAGATGTTGAGCTTGTATCTACATGTCTCTAAGTTTGGTTAGGATATGCTGTTTGCTCTCGACTCAGTTGGACAGTTACAAACAGAGTGAAAGTCAAACACAATTAACCATCGCAGCTTGTTGCCCACTCCTCACTCAACTCGTAGCCTCAATGCCCGAAGGATAGACCAAACCATTCTGCCTACGCACCTCGTCCATCACCTGCATGATGAGGACTGACCCGTCCAGCCCCAACGCACGACCCTCTTTCCCCCCCTCCACAACCGCCATGGCCGCCTCGTCCGCCTTGTCCGCCTTCCAGAACATACCGTAACCCTCGGCCCCCATCCCCGCAACGGAGTATCCGTTGTACCAACCACTCCCCCGACCCGGCCCCGGCTGTGGCCAGCTGCGATCTTCGACGGTCGAGTCAGCTAGAACCAGCCTCGTCCGCGTGGGCCGGAAGATAGGCGGCCAGACCTGCAGCTCGCCCTTGCTGCCCTAGGTGCGCACGGCGGGCCCGCTGGTGCCCTGGCCGTCGATGCCGTTCGCCACGCGGAAGCTGGTCGTCGCGATCCCAAACATTTCTCCCCCTTGCGTGGCGTCGCGAGGGAAGGTGAGCACCACGGTGGCTGTTTTGTTCACCCCTGTGGGTGGGCTCTGTGAAGTGAGCTAGCTACTACCCGCGGAGCTGGAGGAGAGAGTTCACTGCTGCTTGTCTCCGACGGAGGGGTCTGCGTGGTACATAAGGTCTGGAAGAGCCAGGTCAAGCTGTATATTCCCATGTCGAGCAGGACGCCGCCGGCTAAGTCGGCGTTCACCATGCGATGGTCGCGAGGGAAGGTGTCCTCGGAACGGAGGTCCAGGGAGTTGTCTGCAAAGACTCGCTGCAGGGTGCCCAGTCGTCCCGCGGCAATGGTCTCGCCTATGTTTCTCAGAAAGTCTTGAGCACGCGCGGGTCCAGAGGCAGTTGCCGCTGCGACGACGGTATGTTTGATCAAGGTGACGTTGCAGGTGGTGGGGTCGACGAGCAGATCTTTCATGAATGTCTCGGCGATGCCGTCCGTCGCTGGCTTTGATTAATTCGAGTTCGTGAGGAGGGGGGCGAGCAGACTTACCCAGAATGCCCCATCGTGGCTCCATAATTAGCATAAATTGCTCTCGATTATCATACTGTAAGTGAGAGGGACATTGAATGGGCTTATAGTCTTTCAATCCGATGGAGGAAACTGGGGGAATTCCCGTCTTAGGGTTCGTGCGGCGGGTTTCCCCTTTGGGTAATCATGTTCCGCTCCGAGGTCAGTGCAGCGGATGACCGGACTTTGGAACATTCCCCGCATACTGAGTTAGCTTGAACTAATCCATGCGCCAAATGATTCAGTGCGGCATCCCCAATGGGATATCCGCTTCAAGAATGGTTTTGTCTGTATTAGACCTTGAGATAAAAGGAGGAGTCTTGCCGTGTTCACATCCGACGCTACGAGCTAGCACCAATGTTCCCGTTTATAGCAAAAGACACGGACAGAACACGGTCGTAACTTACAACAATCACGGATTCAAAATTCATAGACACCATCATATTCGGCGTTCATAAGACTAACGATAAATGTACTGTTACAAGGGCAAGAAAGACCCTCCACCACCAAATCAATTCGAGCAATCCACAGTAACCGTCGCAGTCACGTAGATAGTCGAGACCGCCTCGTCAATCTCCGACGCGGGCTGCGTCACTGCGGGCGCCACCGCCGACGAGACCGTATGGGCTGCGGCGGTAGCACTCGAGTCACCCGCCGACACAGTTTGTGCAGGCACGACGGCCGTTCCGGTACCTACAACCCCAGCACCCATAGCGGTGGGTGCCGCGGTTTGGGTGGCGGTGATCGGGCACACGGTCGTATAATCGACCAGAGTCTCGGTGATCACGTACGTGCTGTGCGCGGAGGCCGGGCAGTTTGCGACGGTGGACGGGCAGGCGGTGATGGTTGAGGTGCGGGTGGTGAAGACTGTCGAGGTGGTCAGGAGCTCGCTTTCGGGGCCTGCTCCGGCAGAGGCTGTAGGCTGGCCGGCGGTGATTGTGGCGGGGCAGATGGTGGTTCCGATGACCACTGTTTCGGTCGTAAGAGAGGTGGTGCGCTCGCTGGCTGGGCAGTTGGCCACGCTTGACGGGCAGGCTGTCACGGTTGCAGTGCGGGTGGTGAGAAGCGTGGATGTGATGAATGCGCCGGTGTCTGCAGATGCAGATCCGATGGTGGTTCTGCTTTCCTGGGCGGAGATTGAAGGAGTGACTGTGGGGATGCTGAGTTGAGAGGAGCTCACGTGAGGTGCGCTGGACGGGATTCTGCCCAGTTGGGAAAGAGAGGTAGCGAATGTCCGAATTGGGGATGAGGTGAGTCCGGGTGCTGAGGACTGGCCGGCCGAACGTGTCACGACCGGATGGGAGGAGGCAGCGGAGACAACTGGGCTAGATGGTGGAACGGAGGAAGACAATGATCGTATGGGCGAGCTGCGTGGCGGGATCACGGAGTTGGCTGTGGATTGCGATGGTCTTATGACAGGAATCGAGACACTCGAGCTGGCAGAGACGACCGACTGAGACGAGACAGCGGGACTCGACGCAACCGCACTTGAGCTTGATGCCACGGGCACTGTGGGGGTAGCCTGAGCGGATGACAATGCAGAAGGCGACAACGTGGTGGGTGTAGATGCCGGACTGCTCGGTACTATTGGACACGAGATCGGTGAAACAGTACTGGAAATGACCGCCACGGACGAAGCAGGCGACACGGATGATGGCGTTGCTGAGGCGCCCACAGCACTACTTGGAGGAACACTGGACGGCGAGATAGCCACCACACTCGTGGTTGGGGTAACCACCTCTGCGGAGGTGGTGCACACCTGCTGGGTGGATACCGGCAAGAGGAAGTTATCCAGGTCAAAGGTAAAAGTGGCATAGTCGTTGCAGGAAAACAGGAACATCATGGTGTGCGAAGAGCTGGTCGGGGTGAAGGCGGCGGTGTAGGTCGCCCACTCCGCCTCTCCACCACTGAGTATCGCAGCCGTACTGGTTTCATCGAAGAAGTTGCTCCATCTATCCAACATCCACCCGAAATTGCACTTGTTGTAGATGGTGGGAATACTCGCCGCCGCAGCGGTGAGCTTGTAGTCCACCGACAGGGAATACGTCTTCCCCACCTCCAGCCCAGTCACGGTCTGCTTGATGTATTTCCAATAGTAGGGGTCCGCATTGATAGACCTTGGTGTCGCATGTCAGCACTTTTTGTTTTTTAGCCGAGAATCTATGCGAGCAGACGACTTACAGGTAATAAGTGCCATCCGACGCATCCCCGGAAAGGACATCGCCCATGGTCGTAGCCGTCGCCGAGGCGATCCAAGCAGTCCAGTCCGACGCATCGCCAGTCTCGAAGGACGGGTTAGAAAAGGCGTTGACAACCTCATTGCTGCAGGTTACGCTGGCGGTTGCCGTGTGCGCCAACAAGCCGGAGATGACGGCGGTGGTAAAGAGTGACCTTGCCATGGCCTGTTCAGAAAAGAGTGACAGAGCAGTTGGAGATGACGGCAGGCATGAAAAAGGGAATTGGGCCAGCAGAGAAAAGGCACGCAGGCTAGAACATCAAGAAGCACAGAAACTCGACAGTCTTATAGGGGCGAAGTCTTCTTGTTGTCTGGACCCTGGATATCTCGAGGCAGTAGATATAAGCGATGCCAAGGCGCATCCTGATTGGTGCGCGGAGACCCCGAGACTTTAAGCAGAGGGAATACGATCGACTATTGATTTGGAAGTGGAGTCCACTTTGCCACAGCCCACTTGGCAGTGACAGACTGTGCCTGGGAACCGATGGGCCACGGGTGGATGCAAACTATTCAGACCGGGATTGTGGAGGCTGAACTTGAGTGCCACATGTAGAAATATGTAGAATGAGTGGGTAAATTTTGTGTGGGTGACGGTCTAGTCTAATTACAATGGCAGTAGGTTGTTTTGTTTGCTCGGTTTGCATCTGCCGTGCCGGCTGTTGCTCCACTCCGATGCTCGCTCGGCTCGGATTCCCGCCAACGGGCCCCGAGTCACGCTACTCCGACACCGGAGTGATTTTGCTGGGGATGATTTTGGTCTTTCCGATTCCACCGACACCACCACTGTTGTCATCTCCTAGGGAAGCGTCGCTGACCCCAGATCCGGGGTACTCTCCCACCTCAGCGCTTGCGGCAGCCGCCTTTCGATCTCGTGCCACCAACCATTGAATGGCGCCCGTGACCACAACTGCAGGCAGATTTATCAAGTCAGCACGTAACTCCGAAGTACCCACTCTGGCTGCATAGACTCACTGCTCAAGACCTGCAGAATAATGCACCACAGATACCCTTTCTTCGCGGCGGGGAAGTCGGTGGTCTTCCACACAAAGTTCGGTGCCTGGGGCATACGACCATCAGCTTCTGAATGTTCCACACTCTGCTTCATGGACTTACAACAGCCTGCACCACATACGCGAGGTCGTTCGCGAGCACAATCACCAACGCTCTCTCTTCGGTATCGGCTGTGCAGATCTCGTTGGCCCAGCTGAGAATCAGAGGACCAGCGCCCAGCTGTGGTGATAGTGTTAGAACGGTATTCTTCAAGACTGGACTTAAAACACCTACCCCGATGTTACTGAGCCAGTACACGGCCATCCGGCCTGTGATATTCGTATAGAGCGGCATCTGTCGCAGAAGCGCGCAGAAGACGATCTGCGTCACAAAAAAAAACTCATTAGCCGCACTGAGGTCCATATAACCTCAAAGGGTCCAATGCTCACCGTAATCACCGCGCCAGCGTAGATGAACGGCCAGCGAGCCCCCCGGAGCGGTCCGTCGGACAGCCAGCCCCAAGTCAGCGACACGATGATGAACAGACCGGTCGTGAGCAGCGGATCTATAACACTAGGTTAGTCCACACTGGCATTTGTCCAAACGCTCGAATCAACCCACAGTCGTTGATTTGCGGAACAGTGTAGCTTGTTCCTGGGACAGGCGCGGGGTCCGCGTTGAAGCTTTTCAGCCAGTAGCCCATTCCCGCCTGAGGGTATCCGTTGTTCCACACGATGTAGAGCAGAGCTGAAGCAGTCAGCAAGCATTCAATTCGATTAGACAGGGTGACGGCGTACGCAGAAGGTAGATGTGCCAGCTGAGGAACATTCGCTTGACCTTGGCCTTGGTCCAGGGCGACTTGCCCGCGCGATGCACGGCATCCATGCGCTTGACGGAGAGGACGTGCTCCTCTTGCGTGATCCACCACGTCTTCCGGCCGTCTTGCGGCAAATTCGGGAAGAAGATGTATCCAGCCAGCGCGAGCGGCAGGGTGATGATCCCGTCGATGATGAACAGCCATCGCCAGCCGGCCAGTCCGTTCACGCCGTTCAGGTTGGTGTAGGCGGCGGCCTGGAGAAAGCCACTGAACAATGTTCCCATGGAACCCGCCAGCCAGAAAATCATCGCGCGTTTGCCGATCTCCTGCGGGGTGTACCACGATCCGAGGAGGTAGTGGATGCCGGGGTAGAAGCCCGATCTTCAGCACGAGTCAGCATTATATTGGAGCTGTATGCTAGGGGCCATGCTTACTCGAACAGTCCCACTAGGAATCGAATACCATACAGCGCGTGGTAGGATTTGACGGTCGATGTGCATATCGTGGCAATTCCCCAGCCCACCTCGAGCTATTACCTGAAGTCAGCCATCGTGGCTTACCAGCATCGCGAGAAGGACGTACAGTAGGGATGACCCAACGGGGCGAGACTCGGGTCAGCAGCAAATTAGAAGGGATCTGTCCGATGACGTATCCCACGGTATAGATCGAGGTGCTGGTCACCAGCTGGTTGCCGTACATCTTCATATCTTCCTCCATGCCACTGAGATAGGCATTATTGATGTTGTTCAAATCCAGATTCTTCAAAAAGTAGCCGATCTACCAAGCCAATTAGCCAGCCGCATCGCAGCCCAAAAGACGAGACGAGCGCGTACCGACGCGAACGTAAGGACAAAGGCATCGACCTTGAACAACAGCCACCGTTGGTCCCGGGGAAGCTCCCAGGTGTCCCAGAGGTACCCTTTCCAGGAGCGGAGAGGCCGGACCTCGAGCGGCTCGCTGCCATGGCTCAGTCCGGACTCCTCATGGGGGCTCTCAGACCGGCTGGAATCTTCTTTCTCGTACCCCATGGTTGCGGATGTCTGCTTGCCGTTGAGATCGCATGTTGAGATATGACAGCAGCAGCGTATATGTACCCAAACCGGCAAGGCATGGTCTCATTGATTGTGGTCATGACGCCATCAGCTTATCTCTTGATCTGTGCTGCTCTTAGCCCCACGCGTTATACCTCGTCCCCTGTCGCACACTTCCATGGCGCGCGTTCGGCACGTACCACCTCCCGAATTAAGAATATTACCCAAGAGGAACAGCACTCTATTTTCCGTGAATAAACAACCATAGTCCATTCCTAATGGTCTGCTTGCTCTTGCAAAGATGGTGAGCGCGACATGCTGGGAAACCGATGTTCTGCATGGTTACTAGTGACTCAAGGATTGCGCCATCGTGTGCATGGATGGTCTGCTCCGGTGGCTAATGGCTAACCCCGACCTGCGTCCTGCATGTCGTCTGTTCGCCCGTCTCATTGCCACCGCGTAAACTCTCAGTCCGTGGGAAAGCATCCTGATTCATGATCCGATCCATAGCCTGCTTCCCTGAGAGATTCTCAAGTGCCGGGTTGCTGCCTCAGGCACCAACTCACCATACTTTGTATCAGCAGTAATTCGGCTTGGGAAGGCGGAGGTTAGATTCCTGTGATTGCTCTGATCTCTAAGCAGCTTCACTATACAGAGTAACGTATTTACGAGTATCCATATGGGGGTGTGAACGTGGAATGGTCGATGTTCTAACACAAGCAACTACGATATATTTCCCGCACAAGGGGTGCAGAACAGCGGATCGACCACACCAGACTCAGTTTTAACGCCAGACAGATTGCACAACAACACCATGCTTGAGATAGAACGCAAAAATGATGATCAAATAAATCTATTGACTTTCTAGGATCTATGTATGTGTGAACGCCAAATGCCTGCAAACCGCCTTGGTTACGCTCCCAGGTGCCGAAATTCTGCCGGATGCACGGACCATTATAGGGATTGCATTGCGCTGAGCCCTAGGATCAATCAAGGGCGGGTCTTCCCCTCGAGCTTGGTTCCATTACCGGTATGAATTGGCCAACCTGATGAGCTGATTGGAGGGCACACGCAATGGCGAAAGGGAATGGTGAATTTATGCCGGTCGGAAGCTTAGTGCTGACGGTGGACCGTCCAACCAGTCCCGTCCAGGCTGGATACACGAGTTGATAATCTAGACCCGGGTGTGCGATCATTTTGCTCCAGTACGATGACATAGCTTAAACTGACGCCCCCCCGCACCTCCCTACATTCGGCCAAATTAGTCACACTCTTATTCCCAGATGCGCATGGACCTCATTTCAAAGCGACCGAGAATTATATGCGGACAAGACGCGCTTCAAGTCGAACAAAAGGGCGTGAATAGGGTCTTTTGGCCCCTCATTCGCGCAGCAAAGCCAAAGTTGTGCAGGATGGAGCATCTTCCACATCGCGCAGCTAGCAGCGTTTGTCAGAGCAACGTGGAGCACGGTCTTGAGTCGATAAGATAGAGCTCAGCTCATAGGTGGTCGGACCGAAAGTGCATTGCTTGGCGGGGTAGATGTAGCACAACCAAAATTCTGACTCGAGTCATCTTCACGCTGTGATGTCTATACCTCAAGCAAGCATGCTCAGCTCGCGGCTGGGGCTTGGATCTGCGGAGCCATGAAAGCGGGATGTGCATGGATGCAGCCAAAGCGGTACGGCGCATCGCTCATGGATGGTTGATTGCCTGCGGTGTCGGTGGCGAGCCTCAATGAGCCACAGCGGCGATTAACCGTTGGATGAAGTTGTCCATTATGTAAAAAGGCGGAAACTTGCAGGGATCTGTCGTTTCCTTCAGCTTAGTGAACAGGCTTTTCGTGTGCTGGATGAGCTGGAGGTCGCTGGCGGCGGACGGGTGGTTGGGTTCGGCGACGAGCTTCCAACCCAGAGAGACGATAGCAGAGAGGATGAACTGCGCATAGATCCTAGACACAGATCACAAGTCAATATAACAGTGAGAGAAACGAGAGCAGATGCATACCAGAAGGTTTGAGGGATAACGAGATGGCGTAAACGATGAATGTAGAGCAAGATCGACCGCGCAGCTTGATAACACAGCTCCCGACTTGAAGACAGGGGCGACAGGTCGTCCAGGGAGGGGAATCCTCCGCCAGCGATGCGACACGCGCCATGGATCTTGGCGAGACAATAGTAGTATTCCAGATGCATGTTGATTCCCCGCAGACTGAGGTCGAGAACCAAAGAGTCCGGGATACCCCCCGGGGACAGGTTCTCCGGGCGGCAGTCGGAGGGAAATTGCGCTCTTAAATTACTGAGCTCCTCGTCCAGCTCGCGGACATACTGCACGCGAATGGAAGCGGGCTGCGCCAGGCCGTAGTCCGAATACAGCAGACGGTAGATTTTGGACTTGATGACGCACATGCGAAGGTCGGACGGATAGAGTAACTCGTCCTTCGACAAGGGGCCCAGGCGGAACTGGTTCTCGGACGAAGCCATGACATATTTCTCTGGCAGGTCGAGGTCACAGTCGGTATCATGAAGTAAGGGTGAATGTGAATTTCGGATCGACATTTCCCTGTCCACAGAATAGCAGAGCCAGAAGAGAGCCCGAAGATGCCGGCCGTGATGGTCATCAACGCGAGAACCAGAGGGCATAGGAGCGAAATTGCCACCGAGATTGGTGAGGAGCCGGATTGCCATGGCCAGAATCAATTCGGCGGACTGAGGTGCACCGAGGGGGGCCAGGTACAGTACCTGGGGACGTGACGTCAGAGAATGCATCGGGAAGAGATATGAGGAGGCCAGCTGCTCACCACCAGGATCAGGGCTTGTAGAGTCCAGAGGTCATTATTCCCTGACATGACCAGCTCCGGCAACTGCGCGAGCACGGATTGCAGGAAGGCTTCAGAGTCGACTTCACCGAAAGCGGGCTCATCATTCCGCAAGCGAGTGACCAGGGCTGTCAAGGCCACCAAACAGGCTTGGACACTTTTAGGAAGATGAGCTAGATCTGGTGAGGAGGAAAAGAGATCCGAGTTCCGGAGTGATACCAAGGTAACCGGGTCGATCACGGGAAAGACCGAGTAGAGGCTGTTGGTTAGGAAGTAGTCGATGACGGTGCAAATCAACGCGGGTGGGGGTTGCTGTGGATGAATTGTCCTGGAGGCATGGTGGGGAAACTCCGACTTAAATGAAGAGGCCACATCCTGAGCGAAGCGATCCAGGTCGACGAGAGAGGGCATGCGATGCTGGTCGGTGGGGAAGAGAAATGGGGTCGACTTAGGGCCGAAGCCACAGAAGTCGAGAGTCCGCAGGAAAGCGGTTAGAGCCGCGTCGAAGCCGTGCAAATCCGCCAATCCCCCTTGAAGAACAAATGGGCTGGGGGCATTCTTCTTCGTCTGGCTTCTGGCTCGCTCCACTCGCAGTGCTTCTTCCAACTCCTGCACTTGGACTTTGCACTCGGCTAGTTGTCTGTTGCGTGCTCACAACAACTGTCAACTCAACCTTTGACAAGGACAGTGCAGCACAGGTAGGGGCAGAACTTACTCTCGGACTGTCTTGCGAGGCACATCCGGTGGCGGTGTAAAGACGCAAGGCACACCGGCAAAATGGCATGTCTCACATGCAGGTTTGACTCGGTCACAGCGGATCTGGCGTTCAGTGTTAAGTCATACATCGAAAGGCCGGAGATCGGAAGGCTTACCCTCCGAGACCTGCACAAATCACAAGCAGTGCGCGCCCGGCCTGCCCGAGGAGCAATTGCTGAGTCGGACATGGATGAACAAGTGCCACTGTACTGGCTGCCTCTCTACTTTGCCTATATGGCTCGATGGAAGGCACCCAGCATGCGCTCGAAGTGGCTGTTGCCTGCTCAAAATTCAGGGACTCCCGGACCCGGAATTATTCCGGGGCAAGTGACGTAAGCTCTTTGCCTTCTAACGTTACTCATACTCAGTAAGTTACAGAGTAGAATTTTTCTGCTCTGAGCGCTGCCTGAGGCGAAAAGTGGATCTGTCCCTGAGTTTCTGCTCGGGTCCCTGAATGCAATTTTAGCAATTTGAGGGTCTCCCCGCCATATGAAATCTCCGCTCTCTGATTGGTTCCAAGGCTTGGAGATGGAAATTGTAGATCCCGCTGACTCAGCCATCTCTACACACAGACTAATCAACTATACCTTGAAACTGTATTCTAGATAATTCTCCGTCTCTTCTCAGCCAACCGAGTTCTTCTGACACAAGAGACTTCGTCACGCATGCAGATCGTTCCTGGCGGCCTTCTTGGCTTCCGCTTGGCTTATTTTTGGCGAGCTCGTTTTGTATGAGGCATACCGTTGATGCGTATGCCCGCGCTATCTTATACCCAGCAGCTCGGCCCAGCAGCTCTCCACTTCCGATTTCTCTAACACATGAAAGCATCAGGTACGCGTGTACTCAATATCTAGTTCCAAAATTTTGAAGCATTAGTTGACTATCTATTTTACTAAGCGGAAGGAAACACCTTGTCCATGGGAGAAGAACAATGCAGCGGGTGGGGATGAGTCGGCGTTGATGCCAGGATGTTGATGAAATTGCAAAGACGGAACATGCTCTGGTCACTACATCGAGAGGGTATGTGAGAGGGTAATTCTGTGGCCAAGGTATAAAAGCCCCTTGTCTTCCTGCTCCAATTCCTCGTCCATCAACAGCTCAAACTTCCTCCTCTCCGGTGCCGCAGCGACTTGCTTCATCAGCAGCTTCCCCCTCATTCTTCAACATGGTTCATCTGACCTCGTACCTGACCGCCAGCGTGGTCCTGCTGGCCTCTCTGGGCTCCTGTCATCCAGGCCACAGTGTCCAGGAGGAGGCCGCTGAACGCGCCGCCTTCCTCAAACGGGCCCCCGTGCATTCGCGCAGCTTGTCTCACTGCGCATCCAGCCTGAAAGCTCGCGAGGTTGAGGATGCCAATGTTGCTCGTCGCGGGGATGCCCTCGAGCACTTGCGCAGGAAGAGGGGCTTGTCCAGTATGTTTCTTCGAATGTGCAATACCCTTACTGTCAACCTCAACTAACAGCGCAGACAACCAATACCTCAAAGCCCGCGATCTGGACTCCGTTCTGGGTACAGATCATCATTCGAACCTGAGTCATGTTGACCCGTCAACCGACCCCCGCATCCTATTCGCGTCGGGAGGCACCTGCATCGTGCAGCCGGAGGTCACCCAGGGGCCGTACTGTACGTCTGCCACATCATGCTGTTCAACCACCTTCTACAATCTAACACTGGTATCTACCCCTAGATATCGCTGGAGAACTCATCCGCCGCAACGTGGCCGAGGACCAGGAGGGCGTGCCCTTGTTCCTGGACATCCAGCTCATCGACACCAACACCTGCGAGCCGCTGCGGAACATCTACACCGACATCTGGCACTGCAACGCGACCGTAAGCTCTTACCCTCTTTCTTTGGAAATGAGCTACAACCACTAACCTCTTCCCTTACACTAACACAGGGTGTTTACTCCGGAGTCGTGGCAAGCGGTAACGGCAACCAGAACGACTCGAGCAATATCGACACGACCTTCTTGCGCGGCGTGCAGCCCAGCGGCCCCGACGGTGTCGTGCGCTTCGAGTCCATCTTCCCGGGACATTACACCGGCCGCGCGGTGCATATTCACGGTACGTGCCTCGCCCACCCGGCCTTTTCAACCTAATTCTTTCTTTTCATCTCAATCATGCATAGTTCTGACTCAATGGGGGAATAGTGGCAACGCACCCGGCCAACGAAACCAAGATCCTGCCCAACGGCACCATCGCCGGCATGTACGACGGCCACTCCTCGCACGTGGGCCAGATCTACTTCGACCAGGCCCTCATCACCGAGGTCGAGAAGACGACGCCCTACAGCTCCAACACGCAGGATCTGACTCTGAACGCGGACGATATCATTCTGAAAACGGAGGTGGATGACACCGATCCGCTCATGGAGTATGTTCTGCTGGGGGATAGTGTTTCGGATGGCATCTTCGCGTGGATCTCGATTGGGGTGGATGGCACACGCGATGACTCGCTTTCTCCGGAGGGGTTCTGGACCGAGGATGGGGGCGAGGTCAACGATGATTTCGTGATGAATATGGCTGGCATGGGGGATTTCGGTGATTTCGCTTCTTCGAGTGCCGTTGCTACGGCTACTGCTACCTCTGCGTGAGTGCCAGCATGGTGAGAATATTGGCAAGTACGTGGAGGATGGTTACTATTTGGGTTTTCTTTCGATATGCTTCATCCCGGGCGCTCGATTCCGGGGATTCAAGTCTAACTTGGAGTGCTTCCTAGAACCTCTCTACCTGCAGGAAGTTGTTTTACTGCTAAAGATTTTACTAATGAACTGAAGCGGTGAGAAAATGTCAAATCGAGAGCATGTCTCGCCAACGTCACTCTTCGCTAAGTGGTTCATTCTTTTATTTCTGGTGTGCATCGCGATTCGTACGGTTGTAAGTGCAATGCTGGTTGATAAGGATAGTTCAGTTGAACACAGTAGCATCCTATCAAATAGTGGTTTGCTTTCATAGATAGATAAACAATTTCTTCATGGTTCCATGTGCCCTGGTCTCTGTAGGTGGTAGTATGCGCCGTACGTACAAACTCCGGAATTCGGCGCCGCTACTCCTCACAAAGGTTGTTCCTCGGATCCATTTCCTCACCCCAATAGAGACTTTTCCACTGTCGCACCAGTACTTCTTTTGCCCCAGTCTCGAATTTCCCAGCATCCCAGAAGACGTATCCCCAGTTTCGCAGCGCGCTCGGAATCCAGCAGCCCATGATGTTGCTGTAGGTATCGTGCCAGAGTAAGGTCCAAACGAGTGGCGGGAACTCGCCCTTGGGGTCTGGGACATGATCGCCCCGTAATGGAAAGGCCTCGCGGGCTTGCGACCTCAAGTCCCGGTCCGTGAGCCCGTCGTGCATTAGACGTCCCTCAATCATAGAGGGCGACAGAATTTCATTGGTCCCGATAAATTCAGTCTCGTCACAACAAAGTCTTGCCTGCATGGTTTGGAAAAGCTGGGCTTGATCCTTCTCCATTTCACACAGGGCTCGATGCAACAGCGAGAGACCCTGGGACGCTGTGCCTTCGAGGTAGGTTTCTGTCATAAGAACTAGGTAGTTGTTTTAGCTTCAGATTAGCAGAGACGGCAAAGAGGTCGGGCAACCGCGGATAGGACAGAGAGACTGGACTTACATTCACTATCCATGTCAAAGTTCATCGGGTCTAGATCCTCTCGGACCGCATTAAAGATGTCGTGATATTGATCCTGCACGAAGGTGTAGATGCAGAGAATCTCCTCGATCTCCCAGGCGTAGAACATTCTTTCCAAGTGCTGCAGGATGTCCATGGACACGGTTCTAACACGGCTGTTACCCCATGGTTTATCAAGACTTCGATTTCCAAACAGATGACAGCAGAGCTGGAATCAATAGAGCGCGCGGATGATTCGACTCTCCTCGGTGGAGCTGATCTTTCTTTGGACTGACGATGATGGCGGTTCAATCTCCCTGGCCAGGTTCTCGAGTACCCAAGTAGCGAATCGCTGGAACATCGGGACGATGACGTTGTGATGGTATTTGAAGATGTGTAACAGATCATCAAGTGTCAATGATGTGGTTCTCGGTGGCGACTCTTCTGTCAGAAGGCGACAGTTCCGATACTCTTCGACCGTCTCCGCAATCCTCTCTTTTGTGCGTGGTTTGGCAGACTTCAGCTGACCAGAAGCGTAGACGGCTTTAATCTCGGGTAGTAATCCTTTCATGGAGACAGTGAGTCGATTCCATAGCACATCGTGGCCTTCCGCTCGCAGATGTTGGAAATACACGGGCGATGCCATTGTCAGGGCGGTCAGATCCTGATAGGACAGAAGTGAGAGAATCTTGCTCCGAAGCTTAGCTGGCAGCGTTTCCATAGAGAGCTCTCTCTGTGGAGTTGCGGTCGTCGACAAGGGCTTTACTGAATGCGCAGGCGGCCGAGGAGACAAGGTCTGTGGGCAGGATGGAGATGACTGCGAACCATATTGAATCACATGCGAGTGAGCAACAGCAGGCTCTTCTGCGGTTAGGTGTGTGTGAGGCTTGAGCTTATACCAGACCTTTTTAGTGTTGCCTTTGCTACCATCGACCCAACGCCGCCATCGAGACACGCGAGGCTTGGACGAGGACATGATGGATTGAATGAAGTGTGGAGAGGTTGACCGTTCGTAGAATGATTAGCAAGAGATGAGGGTGGATGAAAAGGACGAGAAATGAGATGAATAGAGGAAGAGAGCAAAGATGGGAAGCATGGAGGTGAGAGGAGAGGAAAGGGCAGGAAGAACTCTGATCCGGTCGGTATGTAGGCAGTCATGTGCTACTGTATACAATTGACCATGGACAACAACCGCCCCTGCCCGAAACAGTGAATGAAGTGAAGGTAGCCAGAAAAGAAAATCGCAAACCATGCTGCCCAAGTTTAATGGTGAGTCCGTGGCTTCTTCCACACTTTGTATCCAGCAATGACTGACACTCTTGGTAGCGATATGGTGGCGGCATCGGAATCAGGTCAATCCTACAGTCTTCTGCTAAGGTATCTCTCGAGACACGCATGGTATCAGAGCGGAAATGGATTGGAGACAGTGGAATCTAAAGGTGGGGAATGTGAGTGAAAAAGTCCTACGCAATGAGCTTGAGAATTCGATAGCAGTTCAGGAAGCTTTGACTGACCAGAAATCAAACATCACTATCCAAGTTGTTACCGACAAACCTACAGAACCCGGTCCGAGCGATGCTGCCCAGGGGATAGGCAAAAGTAGAGCGCACTAAGGGGTGAGATCTGTTGCAATAGCTAGCAGCGTGGATTTCTTCGTACGTGGTATACTCATACTCTCACCCACTAGAAGCGTCACGCAGCACAAAATAAGGCACTAAATTGACTAACAAATTAAGAATTCAAGATATAGGCTCCCGCAAGACACCCGCAATCACTCCCCTCGGTCTTCTCATTCTCACCATCACCCAGCAGGAGCAAAGGCATCAACAGAATCTAAGCACGACGAGCAAAATCCCGAGCATGCACACCACTGGACCGAGAGACAAGCGCACCGAAGATAGCGCGAATATCATCCAGAACCTCAGTCGGGGTGGTGGGAGTAGCCAGCGCCACTGAGGCAGCCGTGGCCGTCGTCGCAGCCTCTACTGCCACTTCCGTGGTCACCGAGGGAGCAGCAGCCGAAGTCACGGCCGCAGCGGCAGTGGAGACGGAGCTAGTGGCTGCGGAGGAGACAACGACGGGTTCAGCGGTTGCAACAGTCTGAGTGGCAGAGATAGTGGTCGAGGCAGCAGTGCTGGTAGTAGCAGCGGCGACGGTGGTGCTTGAGGTAGCCTCGGCGGTGGACTTAGCAGCGGAAGAGGTCGAAGAGCTGGCAGAGCTGACAGAGCTAGATGTGTCCGCAGAGCTGGAGCTGGAGCTCGACGCGCTACCCGACCCAATCTCCTTCGTGATCGGCGCCCTCTCAACATAAACACCAGACCAGAACCAATCCTCCGCCGCATCGTTCGAGCTTCCGCTACCAGGCAGACGCAGCTCGCCGACGTGCCAGTCGGCCGAGTTGGACGAGGCGGACGCGCTGACGGGCGACACAACCTCGGTCAAGGGGTCGGAGCCGTTGGACGCCCACAGACCCACCGTCTGCGCGTCGAAGTCGATATCATACGCAAAGTTGTACCAGTTGCCGGCCTCCAGCTGCACAGACCAGTGGGTGTTGCCGCCGGCGTTCCAGCGGAGTGTGTTGTCGGAGGACCCGGATGCCCCAGAGGCCAGACCGTACTGCAGCTCGGTGAAGTGGCTCTCGAAGAAGGCGATCTGGTGCTCGAAGGAGGCGTCGGGCGCGTTAGTCGTCTTGGTCGACAGGGAGAAGTGGTAGTAGAGGTGGCCGGAGCCGAGGTCGGCCTTGGTCTGGGGGATCAGTTCGGAGCGCTCCATCGTTTGACCTTCCCAGTAAGAGGTGCCGTCCTATCGGAATGGATATGTTAGCTCGCGCAATCCCGTCGTCAAATGGAAATTGGCATACAATGCTGATGCGCAGCCCCTGGGCGTCGCTCGTGTCGGCGGGGTTCTTGAAGTCCGTGGACAGACCCAGGTAATCCGACGTGTTGCCGGTGCCATGGATGTACCATTGCCACGGTTCGATCTGGTTGGACCATGACCCTATCTTGTCAGCTCGAAGCCCATGGCGACCGGGAGAGAGGGTTGAATTACAATCATCAAAGTCCTCGACGGTAGCAGAAGAGTTGAAAATGCCGCTCCACAACACGGTTCCAGCCAGCGAGGAAGCGGGAAAAGCGAGAAGGGAAACGAAAGACTTCATAGTGAGTGAAGGGCGAAGGAGTGACGAAGAAAAGTAAGAGAATGGAATGTGTGACCGGCACAGTTGGTTTGGAGAATGAGTTGTGGGCTGAGGGATCTTTTTATCTTGACGGACCTGGTTGCGGTGGGGAGGATGGAAAGTGGAGCGGGTGTCGGGGTTAGATTGACGGGCGTGTGCTGAAACACCCGCACGCTGGCTCTCCGTTTCACCTTAATCCAAAGGGTCTCAGTCTCGACCCTGACAGCTCGACACTGCAATTAAACGCTGCTCCGCCAACTGAGACCTTGCCTGTCATTGCTGGTTCATGGCCAATCCAATTGTCCTTCCGGTCGCACTCACTGGCACCTCCACTGAAATAGAAAATTGAGGAACGTTTCTCGCATTGACCATCACTTGTTATAAACATATACTGCCGCCAAGCGACGTGATCACTCAGTAGATACATAATCATGCACAATTCCTTACAAAGCCAACACGGCCGCCTTGAGCTTGGCGAAGTTAGGAGTTCCCAAACCGGTGGCCGGATCCCAGCCCGCAGTGGCATTCCAGCTGGCCCACGGGATGTAGCCCGTCCCGGCCGAGCTGCCATCACATCCACCCGCCCTACCCGAGGTAATGTCATTCAAGCTCTTGTATCCACTAGAGTACAACCAGGGGTTTAGGAAGCCCAGGGACGTCTTTCCCGCGCGCAGACGAGCGTCGTTGAGCAACGCGATGATGGCAGCAACGACGGGACTGGCGCCCGAAGTACCGCCGATGAGCTCCAGTTCACCGTTCACATAGGTTTCATAGCTGATTTACCCGTCAGAGTCATTTCGGCATATCAAGAAGTCACGGAGAGGAACTTACTAGGGCGAACCACCATAGGCGGCAATATCCGGGAATGCGCGCCCGGTGAAGTTGACATACGGAGTGTAGTACTCCTTAACGGCCGCGGAAATGTGCTTGTCCAGGTAGGTCTCGACCTGATCAGCTTGGTAGGACGGGCGCGCGAAGTAGTTGCTAAAGCCGCCGCTGCTGTCCACCCAGGCGATCTCGGGGATGTCCTGGGTACCACCCACGGCAGTGATGTAGGGGCATGTGCCGGGGAACTCGGGGGTGAACTGAACGGTGTCGGTGCCGTCGTTCGAGAGACAGGCCTCACCAACACCTGGACCATGTTAGTCGGCGGCTTGCACGGCTGAACGCAGACAACTCACCCGAATCACCCGACGACTCCAGAACCGAAATACCGCGCAGGCCGATCAGCCCGATGAGGTTGCAGACGCGCGTGGCATAGGCATACGGAACAGTCTATAGGGTCAGTCGAAGCACTACTATGAGGGTGATTAAACGTACATCCTCATCGTCACCGTAGGAGTTGGTGATAACCTGCGGCAGCTCGTCGTTGGTCTTGTTCAGCAGGTACTCATAGTACTCCACGTAGGGCTCGTTGGTATCCGTGGTCTCCACCACGTTAGGGATGAAGGGACTTTCGTCTCGTTAGTAACCACTTTCAACCCCGATCCATTTTGGGATTACATACGGAGATCCAGCAGTGATGAACTCAACCACCGGCAGGGGATGCGAGAGGCCCACAATGTTCTGCACATCCAGATCGGCCTCACCCCCGTCCTCCTCTTGGTTGTTGACGCCACCGTTGATCAACTCCACGGTGAAGTTCTGCTGCGGGATGCCGAAGCGCTCGGTGAACAGATCGAGGTCCGAGTACAGGGCGGACTCGCCCAAGAAACTTCCGAAACCGATGCGACTGCCGGACGAAGCCTTGGGGGTGTAGTCGATGTTGTACTGCTGCTTCAGCAAGGTCGGGGTGATGTACTGGCTGGCGCTGCTGGACCGTCGGGCCACCTTGACGGCCTGGAAGGCGGCGGCGCGCTCGGCGCGCGTCTTGCCGAAGAAGACGGTGGGAGCGATCAGGTCGATCGACCCGCTCAAGCTGTCGGGCACAGAGTACTGGGTGGTGCGCACCTTCTGGGTGCCGGCCTTCTCGTAGACCGAGAAGGTGGTGTTGAGCAGCTTGTTGGCCGTGCCGACGGTGGTGGCAAAGCTGATCAACCCGCCCTGGTGGGAGATGTCGGTGACGCCCGCCTCGGTGAGCCAGGAGATGACCGTCGAGTGGTCGGCCAGAGGGAACTGGGCGTTGACTTCGTCCGCGTCGAGGTACTGGCCGTAGGTGCTTTCGCCCGGGGTGGAGACGGACAGCAGCTTGGACTCGAGTTGGTCCAGGTTCTGGCGCGTCAAGGCCACGGAAAGAGTAATGTTCGAGCTGGTGTCGGCTTCCTCAACAAGCGACCAGCTGCTGGGCACGGCCTGGATCTTCTCCAGCACCACGTTGGCCCAAGCAGGGGCGGCCACGGCCAACAGGCCGGCAGAGATGCGCGAGAAGGCGACCATGATGAGGGGAGATCCAGCAACGGGGAAGGAGACACTGGGGGAGAAGGGCGAGGAGCAGACAGGCAGCGACGTGGCCGCCTGTTATAAATCTTTTT